ACTCTGTCGATTGGGTCCAGCTCAAGTAACTGTCATGACCTTTGACAAAAACCTGGTCAAATAAGCCCGCAAGACATTTTGCCTCCGCCGCCGCTATTTTTGGAAAAAATTTTCGTTCCACAGGAAGAGCCTCTAAATAAACAGGTACCGTGTTGTATACGGCTGCGAATAAATGTCTCAGAGTCGTGTCATGCTTCGACTTGTCCCACATTCGGAGCCTCTTCAATTTACTCCACGAGCGCAGCGAACATCTCCTCCGGAGTTGCGCTTAGCCGGATAGACCGTTGCGCCTCACCCTGCGTCATCATTGCCCACTGGCTGTGTTTCAGAGCGCGCGCTCTGAGTCCTGTCCTCCATTTAGCCATCTTGTTCTGTAGGTAAGATGGAGGAGGTGTCGGCCGTGTCACCCCCTCCCTCTCCAGGCGGAGGTAGGCCAGGCGGGGCATAGTAAGCGCGGTACACGGTCGGTGGCGCTGGTGCACTATTTATACTCCGCCTGATCAGGTGCTGATCTCTGCTTCGCAGATCGGGAGTGTTCGATGACAACGGGCTATGCTGGAATATCGACAACAGGAAGTTGGATCTGCTCACCGCATGTTACAGATGTAGACATTCGTGCTTAATGTGCAAATCGACGATGTGAATGAATGACGTTAGTAAAAGCATGTCAAAAACGTTACTTCTATGATCAACAATATCCAAGACCATGTACTTGGCGCCCTGTAGGATGTAGCTTATATCAAATTTCTCGATATATCTGCTTTTCTGACACTTCGTATCCTCTTTATTGCGACGAGCATCGATGAATTTTTGCATTCCAAAATCAATTTAGTAAGTGGTCCGTCAACCCGCCTCATAATAGATAATGTATCAATTTGAAGTTTTTATTGATGCGAATGCGTCGTCTTGTCATAGAAAATTATTGCTTATGTTGACTCAACGTTTTAGAGGTTATACACCTGTCTCGTCGCAGCTGTATTCGGAAGACAGCAAACGGGATAAACCCAATCGATTTTTCCTTCGTCTACCTCCATTTCGTTGTATTGACTTTTGGTCATTTGTGACTTTTCGTGATTCCTTGTGTCGAGAATCATGTCAGAGCGCAGCCCATTTGCTCATCTCATTCTATATATGGTCACACAAACGAACAGAGCCTTTGCTCGTGCCGTAAATGATTTTATCACTGAATGACAGTCATGGTGGATGGATCCGTAATCTTTGGTCGGACTATGACGTGCTGATATTTGTGACGGGGCACGATTCAAATTCATTGATACAGGATGATCAGTCTTTGAGCGCATGCACTTATGGTGTTTTTTATGTAGGTGGGCAATGAAGTGCAGACAATTGACTGAAGCCGCTTCTGTGATACAATAGGGAAAAGTGGTGTCAAATAACATTTTAGTCGTATTCGGACATCATGTTGTAGACGGAGTTGAATTAGCACTGATTAAAGTTTTTAATGCTGGCTTCCTGCTAACGTTAGAACGCCCATACACCACTGACTTGTGATATCGTTGGCGGATGTACTGTCCAAAGAGAAGATGAAGCTAAGCTTGATGTCGTCTGCTCTGTAATTTAAGCTATAAATGCAAAATCCCTAAGTTTGAGAAATGTACTCGCATCATTGTAGCCATTTTAGCACAAAGCGAATAACGTTTACTGTAGTGTGGAAACATTTACCTAGTTGAACTACTGTATTTGTGATTAAAAGAGACAAGTTACTTATTTAATTTCTGCCTTTCAAGTCAAACCTTAAGAGTTTCAAACGACGAGTCAAACTTGTCAATCTTAACTCGACGAGCAAAGTCGGCGAGTGCGCGGAAAGATCGTCAATCTACTTTACGAGTCAGTATGTACTGGGTGACAATAGAGGAAGAGGGGGCGACCCACGTAGCTCCGGTGGATAGAGAATATGAGACTAATGGCTGCATAGCTGAAATTATTGATCTTTAAGACACGCGTGCACTTTAACGGTGAGTATCCTGCATGGAATCGGCTATGACGCCTTCGGACCTGAAAGAGGTATAGCTTGTGAAGATCTTGAAACCAAGATTTGAGGTTGGACCAGGGTGGGCACTCGGTACCAGCGCATGCTGAGTCTTGTCATTGGACAAACTGGTGACCCAATAAACATTATTATCTGCCTTGCCACGTGAAAATCGCATTTAAACCAGCATATGCCACCGTTTGAGGCGGTTCAGTGACAAGCGGGTGGGCCTCAGCCGAGGGTACCGTAATTGTCTAGTCGGTCAGTAGTCTGCGCCCGGTGACCTGTCAACTCGCGCAAGTGTCAACGTCCACCCTTTGGTGGGAGATCACGTGAAGTGTAAGATTTGGAAGCTGCTACGCTCATGTACGCACTTGGGGATTCACCGCGAGGTGTCGAAGGAGAGCCACATTTAGAAACCCGTTAGGGCGACCCGCGAATAGATATCAATTTGTGCCGGCGTGAAAGTCCAGTTCGTCGACGGAAACCGGCGATATGGTCCTGTCGCTACGTTTGAGACTGTATTATTACAACCATTAACTTGTACGAACTACTTGACTACGAATCGCATACGCTCGGGGAAGGTGGTAAGCTGCCATCCCGGGCGTTGCAAGAACGCATACGTAGAGAAATCATGAGACTTCGTATTTGTTGAGAAACAGAGGAGTGTTCTTTATTCTGGTTGTATCCTGATGTGCATTTTAATCATCGCATCGTCGATTTTGTAATTTTCTCACAATTATGGCTTCCGTATGTTTTCACCTTGCTTATATCCTTGACGAACTTCAAAAGCGAAAAGGGCTTTTTTGTCGCTCTTTCGGTACGTAAAATTCAGTATCCCGTATTTTGCAGAATTTACCTCGTATATTGAACAAATGTGTTATACTTGATAGTGTTCATTCTCTTATTTGCAAACCGAGCGAGCGGTCCGTTTTAAATTTGTCGTAGTAATGAGACTACTAGTACTTCTGTGCTTGCATTAGGTAGGTTTATGGATTCCAATTGGTCCTATAGGCGTGGTTTACGTTCCATTTTAACATATCTAGAATGCCAAAAATTGAACGCAGTGATGCACGATACGAAATGGCGATTACTTCACGTTCAGTTCTATCTATCCTACGTCGAAGTTCTCGAGAACAACTCGTTATAGCATAGTTTTATATTGCCGCTACTCAAGTCAAATGCCATTATAATCAGACCAACTATTCCGATACGGTGCTGTGCTCTTTTCACCATCGTCTTCATGGACGCATACATTTTGAGGGGTTGCATCTCTTCAAGTTTGGGCACTCCATCACGTCATTTTGATACCGCAAAGCTCCTGGCCACATCTTTCGAACCTCAGGCGATAGAGAACGGTGCATGAGTAAGATCTCGATTGCGCGGTCGGTCACGACGATTAAAGTGACTTGTTCCTGTACTGATGAATGGACTTCAGCTGCGCCAAAATAACATGCCTCTGTTTCAGGAATGAGGGGTGTACTAGTATTCTGTCAGACGTATTGGACGTTTGCCAATGTAGCTGCTACAGAGCTACCAACTCGGTCTGTACTAGTGCACGTACGACAGACATAGTCTTGACTGTAGGCATTGCCTGAAAGTTGACCCAACGTTCGCTCGAGGGTATTTGGTTTAGCAATATCGCTATTAAAAGCTAATTTCACTTTCTACGAGCTCATAACAAACCAAACAAGCCACAGCAACCGAAACGCCTCGCCCCACATATTATTGTATTCACCGTTAGTCGCGCCGTATGCAACCAACGAGCATCACTTTCCATCATAACTCCAGCAGTGATCAAGAAACACAATTGTTGAAACTTTGTGAAGTGTATGCTACAACTTGCAGGCGCTTAATTCTGCCGATCAAGTCGTGGCGCTGGCGCGAATGCTGGTTCACTTGGTCTCTAGCTTTTGTTCGCGCAGCACCCTGAAAGGTCGGTACGAGTATGCTGCGCTGTGCTGTTCTGACTACAATCTTTTTTGGATGCATGACCGGCGTCAAGCTCAATGATCATGGTGGCTCTAGTTTTGAACTCGTTCGTCACTTTGCCTCTATACAAGAACTGCATCACTGCTGTTCTCGCATGCATGCTTAGGAAGTCTACAACACGCTGTTCGTGACGGGTCGACAGAAGCCGCAAGTCAAACGAATGCCAAATGGTTCTACGCTGTCCATGATACTTGCTCGATTCGGACAACGCAACCCGTGCCTCGCAGCTTGTGCCGTCCGGGGCCATCATGGACACGAAATGTGAAAAATAACGCAGCTCAATTTGTGCCAGAGTCTTTATCTTTACTTGTGACAAATGCCTCTAACAGAGGAGATCGCACTTGACGCTGCCACGAGAGCCGACGCGCTTTCATGCAGCTTGCGTCTTATCAAAACATCGTATGGAGTTTCCAGCAAGCTTTGTCCACTATTAATAGGGAGCTAAGCTAACGCTCACTCATGTTTCCAGATAGCTCATGAAGGCCTTTGGGATTGGTGTGTTTGGGAACAACGTTCTGCTTTTTGGCTTTACTCTACAGAGAAGGAGCAAGCCTACGAGACGATTCATGTGCAACTTCTGTTAAATGTAGGATCACGAAGAATGTATGGTCGCGGGGTACGTCTCAAAGCACTTGTGTTTATTCATTGCACTTGACTTCAAATTGTGTTTGCACTGACTTCACTCTGTCAAAAAGGCATTGAGTGTTGCTGGTGTTGGCACTTCGTAATCAAATTTGCTTTAAAAACATTTTTCCTCGGTTCGAGAGGATCCGGTAGACTACTTGGTGCTAAGTCGAGCTACGTTCGTAGAGAAATTTGTGCTATGTTTTAATCACACGGACTACGGCCCTATGTTGCACGCGACAAGCCCCATCAAGTGAATTACCCAGTGTTATTTTATTTATTTTACCATTTACACAAACCAAATAACAACTTTTTGTTCGTTATCGTCTCATCGAGCAATGTCATCGTTGCTCATGCATGAGCGCACATATGTTACACCCACTCACCGTTCGTATCAAGACCGCATGGACTCCACTGTTGAGCGAATGGACTCAATCTCCAATACTCGTCCATATACGATGCTCTCTGCCAAGTATCGAGGCATCAATCCCTTAAAATCCGCCCGTACTACACATGTCAGCCTCGTCGAAGTCGCGCTGTTCACTTGAGATCCCACGTCTTCCTCGTCTCCTCCATATGGTTCAATCAGAAAGCCACCAGTAGCAAACGCCATACGTACAACTCCCTTGCGCTCCGGTACATCTGCGCGGGGGATTGACTCCTGCAACACGGCGTATGTATCTGGCTTTCCCGTTTTCTCTACAAAACTGTGAAGGTCACATGAATCGCGTGGCTTCACCAGCCATGCTGGCCATAGCGAGAATCGCGAGTGCTGATGGTAAAGCACCACCTTCAAGTCATCCAGAGGCTCCACCTTCGAAATCGTTGCCCTGGTGTCGTCATCGTTGCTACCACCATCAAGTGTTTGTAAATACCGAAACACTTGTTTCGGCGTCGAGGCAATTATAACGCTTCCTTTCATCTCCACAAGACGGTCTTTTTCAGATGTAAATCGTCCAGACGGACACAAAAAATGAGCAGGTGTTTTGCGAAGCACCTCCACGTCGTTCCGGCTTTTGTACACTGTCCACTCCGCACCATTTATATCGTTTGCATGAAGTAGACGATGCAGACCGTTTTGCGAAAGCTTCGCATAATACAGCTTCATTAGCTGGTTGTCGCGATGACCTGCGTATCCAATGATTTTATCCAGCTCGTCCATTGACACAGGCATTGCCAAATTTTGTCGCCGTGACGCTTTCGGGGCCTCGCTTAACCTTTCGCTATCGTCATCCTCCCGAATCTCAGTCGAATAGGCCGCAGCTTTCGACAACCTCAGCATCCTCCTCAATCGATGTCGATGCTTAACGGGTGATACTGTCACTGCAGAAGTAGAACTAGTCGGAGAAGTAGAGCCCCTGCTGCTTGTGCAGCTAGTGCTTCCATTGTTCACGACAATCTGTTGCTGTCGCCGAAATTTATTGTTGTCAGCAACCTCGACGGCAAGGTAGTCCAAATGCGAGCTCATCCAGTCGCGCAAGACAGCACAAGAAGCTTCTGGAACATCGATAACACACGCTCCCGTAAGATTTACAATCGACGTGTCTTTGCCCAGACTGCTGCTACTCCGACTTGCCCAAAGCTGCGACAACCGCGGGGCAACGTTGCTGCGCGCAACAAGACTCTCTCGGCGAGGATCATTTTGCGCTTGTAGACACAGCTGATCATAGAACTGCGTGAGTTTGGGCCGGTTGCGTACAATGAACGGGTTGAACGGGACCATATACGATTCAGTAGACGGGCTGTACTCGACGTTGTTTGCCAACGATTGCATCAACTTTGCCAGCAGCACAAGCGTGCGCTGCATCTGCTTCGCCGGTGCGGCATTGCCCGGCGTCAAATTCATCTTGTGCGGGACTACTAGTGCGGGGCACAAAAACCGCAAAAACACCAGACCACCCAAGTGCATGTAGAATTCTTCCTTTGTAGCAGTCATCATTTGAGCCACACCGTTCGAGAGATCGGATTGCACGAGCGACTCTTCCAGAAGATTCTCCTCGATAGAACTAAGTCGCGGCAGTGCTCCAAGATGGCCAACACTTTCCGCTGATGAGCCCTCCACCAAATTGTTGCTGTAATTGCCTGCGTCCAAGACTCGCAAACTGTTGCTACTTCCTCCTTTCGTGCTAAGTCTGGGTAAAGACAAGTTGCTGCGTCGATCCCGTTCAACAAGTCGAATCATTTCCAACTCCATGACGCGGTAGATCTTCGCAATTTGATATGGAAACAGCGAAACGGCATTGAAAATACAATCCAACGTGAACTCCGCCAGCGTTTCTAGTCGCTGCTGGTTGGCACGTAAATCGTCCTCAAGCTGCAAAAAGCGCGGGTTCACTTCGTATCCGTCCGATCTCACCCACAATTTGTTAATGACGTGAGCCAGTGCATGCTGTAGAAAGTCACCACCCAGTTCGCACGTATATTCCCTCAACAACTACACGGCCACAGCAACACACTACCAACATTAGCGCCTCGACGCCATACGTGTGCCAAAATTACGGTCAAACACCAGTTGACGTACAGCTGTCGTGGCCGAATTAGCTCGAAAGAGCTCGTTCCAGTTCAGCGTGTGCACCATCTCCCGGAGCATGAGCGCCCCCAGCCACTTCTGTAGTTGGTCCTCGTACTTTTCAAACACAAACAACAGCGCTCGAATCACATTCACGTCGGCTCCAGAAGGGACCTGCAGCAAACAAACAGACGACAACAATAGAGAAAGAGAGAGAAAGAGAGAGAGAGAGCGAGAGCGAGAGAGAGCGAGGGACACAGAAAGACATGAATCGCCAAACGAGCGCCAAAAAGGAGCGACAAAGAAGCAGTGAGAACGACCGCAGCAGCAATCAACAGCGACGAGGGGCAGTGCCTACCGTAGCGAGCGCCGAAGCGAGACGAAACTCGGGGTCGTGCACGAGCGCAAAGACGAGCGCGCTCTCGGCGTCTTCTTGTGCCAGGAACGCCACAGCATTGCGCACCGTCTCGTCTGGTCGTCTCTTGCCGCCGTGTCCCGAGCGGCTCGCTGACTTTCCGGGCGCTGCGGCCTCGGGCGGAGGCGACTCGTCCTGCGACGGCGGCTGGTGATCGCGCGAGCGACTGCGCAGTCCGACGGTCAGCGCGCGCATCACTTGTAGCACGCGCATCGGGCGCTCGGGCGGTCAGCGACACGCGGCTGGAGAGCTCAATAGAAGAGTGAAGTCAGTCGTCGAGCGGCTGTTTCCAAGGCGAGAAAAAGAAGAGACGAAGAAAGGCCGTCGAGGGGAGGGGAGGGGAGGGGGTATGGACCCGAGCGAGGGAAATAAAGCAGAGTGGAGCAAAGACAGGACGGACGCAGACGGTGACGCCCTCGCTCCTGCAGCTGAAGTAGCAGCAGTGGCGACAAGGAGCAATCGATGTTTTCATTATTGATGTTGTTGTTGTTGTTGCTGTCGTTGTTGTTGTTGTTGTTGTCGTTGTTGTTGTTGCTGTCGTTGTTGTTGCTGTCGTTGTTGTACCTGTACCGCTGCAAGTAAAGCTACGCGCGACTTGTTGCCAGACACTGGAGCTAGCAAGAAACGGCGTGAACTCGCAGACTGACGCCTACATGCGGTCCTCTACTACACTGCGTCAGCGTTTCCATCGATCTCGCAGGTCGTGCTGTCGGTGCACGGCGCGGCTGCGTTGAGCTCGAGCCTCGACGTTTCACGTCGCTTGCGTGCCGGATCTACGTGTTCAGTAACGCTGGCGTTCCACGTCGAGTCGGCCATGCGACGCTACGATCGCACAACTTGCGAGCGCATGTTTTGCGAGGACGATCACGTCGTGCGCGAGCTGACGTGGACGCAACGTCGTACATGTCGGAGAAAAGGGTCGAGTCTGCGGTCGGGTAAAAGCTCAGTTGATGACGCACAGAACACCGTCCACACCTGCAAGTTCCGGAGCAGGTCGACAACGAGTCGACATTGTGTAGAAACTCGCGGCGGGTCACAGACGACGCACAGTCGTCAGTTGTAACCGTGCGGTAAAACGGAGGCGGCGCACAGATCGGCCACGAGCGACACCCGCACGTACATAAACGGCTTCTGCTGCTATAGGTCGTGACGATCGCTTCTTTGAACAGGTTAAAAAAGGGCAGGCCTTCCGTAAGGCGCACATGGTCGGTCGGGTGAATCGCCTGCCTTCCGTGCGGTGAATCGCGATCAAGAGATTTGCCCTGCAGAATTTCTGAGAAGCCGCGCTGGAATGGGCCGGACAGGCCAATTCCACCGGCACCAATTCCCCCCGCCTGACGTCCGGTATCTCCCCAAGTGTTAGCAAAGTCACACGCAGACGCATGTTACGGATGTAGCTGGCCGAAGCCGTCCAAAAGCTTCTGCAGTTGCCGTAGTAACTGCTCGTTCCCGCACTCGACCGTGCGAAAAGGTTCTCGCAACGTTGCAGCTCCTCCAAACACGCGGACACTGCCGTCTTGTGCAACCTCAAACGGCACGTATTTCTGAAGCAAACGTTCCGGTGAGATCACACGCACACCTCGTTAGAATCACAGCGTCGATGCTGTATAGCTATGCTACAAATTGCATCGCAAGACCGTACATCAGTCAGGAACTGAATAAGCTCTTCACGGCGCTGCTGCCGAGAGACCGCGGCGTCTCTTTGACCGTCACGATCGTTCTCGTTTGCCACTTCCCTTTTAAGAGACGCTAGTGTGGGCAAGCCACAGCTTTCGTCCAGCTCTTCCTTCCGTATGCCTCGGACATCATGAGCCAGCACGATCTTGACGCTGTAATCCGAGACGACGTGCCCCGAAGAGACCAGAAGCGCTACGTCGTCCGTCTCGGGGTCGATGCAATACAGTACGCCAGCCGTCGCTGTACCATCTTGCACCTGCACGCGCACAGGCTGCCCGATGAGCTTCGAGAACCGACTGAAGAGCGTCTTTTCGCTCGTCATTGGTATCGGCTCCTGTCCAGTCAGTCACGCACAAATGAATGAGTGACCAGTCTTTGTATCGCGACATCGCACTGGAGCACCGCGACCGTAACGTGTACAAGCATGTGTTTGATTCAATAGCGAAACCGGCAACAAATCAAGCTAATGGAAAATAAAAGTACCGCCCTCTGCCTCGGAGCAGTCTGTCGATCGCTTAGCTCAACCTATTGATACTAAGCCTTCGGTCGTTGTCTAGCCGGCCACGGGCTTCTCCACGTGCACCCACAGCGCAATGAACATGAGGCCCACAGCGATGGAGATCGAACCCATAAAGTTGCCTTGATCCATCAAACTCTGGTAGCTCCAGCCAAAGTACTCCTGAATGCTCATTCGCACGCTCGGACCGAGGTTGTACGCAATGTAGAAACCCATCAACACAGCAGCGCACAGCATCGAGTCGCCGTGCGAATACACGCGATTGTAATAAGCCACAATGTAGCGCACCATGGCCCATACGATGCCAAAAACTGCTCCAGAGAAAACCAGCACATTCGGCAGCTCCGCCAGCGATCCGCGCGTAGCATCGTGCCTATTGAGCCACTTCGACTTGCGACCAGTGATCTTCCACACAATGGCGCCAAGCATTGCCGTAAAGTTGGTGAACGCGTACACGAACCTTGTCTCTTGCGACCGCACCACGTCGTTGTTTTCCACACCGCGTGTACTCAAAGCCGTCAGCAAGCCTTGCACAACAAGTTTTGGCACCAAAGCCGCAAGCACGCGCAGGCCGTTCACGAAAATCGGGGCATATCCCGTGTACAAGAAGTAGAGCGTGACGTAGTACAGAAGAATCACTGAAATCGACTCGATCGGGTACAGAGTCGAGTTCAAGTAGAACACACGTCGCATAAAGTTGTTCGGCTTGCGGTACTTTGGAATGTCCACGTGCGGGCGCTTCCATTCCGGATCGGCCACGTTCTTGTTCTTCTTCATCAAAGCCGTCTGGAAGTTACCCTTTGCCCAACGCTTGCGCTGAGCCATAGCTGCAGCAACGGAATCAGGGATCGAGCCTTCCGCCAGACGGACACGCTCATGAGCTTCGCCTTCGAAGTCCTTGCGAAAGTAGAGCGCCTTCCAGCCCATGGACACGAGACGCTCACCAGTGTAACAGTCCTCCGTTAGCGTACCGTACTGAATGCCGCCAATCGAATCCAAAGCTTCTCGACGAATCAAGGCATTGGTACCAGCAAATGAAGCACAGTCGTATCCGTCTTGCCCAGTCTGAATGGCATCGTAAAAAGCCGAGTTACGGTGGCCGAGCGGGTCGCCAATCTGCAGTTGAACACAGTCGCGAAAGTACTGCGGAGTCTGGACGAACCCGACGGCGTTGTCGCGCACATCGTCCGAGTACGAGTGCAAAATCGACATGTCTGTGTCGCCGTTGTTGTTGTTCGTGTTACATTTGCGGCAAACACCGCTCTTGCCCAGTTTCGAGTCGCAATTCACACAGCGCAATTCTCTCTTCGTAGCACGCGTGTCACTCAACGTGCCGTTCACTTGACGGCGATGCAAGTCGCTTTGGACGTGCATCGCGTTTTCGAAGCATTCCTTCGAGCAGTAGCTAATGCGCTCCTCAGGAACGCCTGCGATTTTGCACGAAGCGCAGCACATTTTTGCCACGTTTTGGCAGCCCGAGCACGAGCACGAGTACTTATTTCTAGACTGGCGATCTTCATCGTCGAAGAAGAACGGAAGTGTAGCCAGTATAAACTTCGGATGTGGCTGCGTATCCGTGTCGAGTAGCAGCACATAGCGACCGTTTGCACCTTCGTTGTACAAACAGTTGTTGATGTTGCCTGCCTTGGAAAAGTGCTCTTCCGGCTTCACGCGGCCCACAAACGTCACGTGTGGTAGATCGGGGTAGCGGTAGTCATCACGGAACGAACCTACGGCACAGTCTGCGCGGTTCACCACCCTCGGTTGAGCTGCCGATGGCAAGTTCGCCGATGAGTGCAGCTTGCGCCATGCGTACACTTCCATGTCCTCATTCGGGTCGCACACACGGTCGTACATGAACTGGGCAACTTCCTGGCGAAGATCACCAGACTTTTCGAGAATCACCTTGTTCAGCTCAATGGCGGGAACCGGATTGCCCTTCGTCCACTTCGTGCGGCAGTAGCCGTCGTCCAGCACGTAAATCTGCAACAGGTGCGGCGGGTACTGCAAATTCATACACGCCATGAGGGTGTCAATCGTCTCCTCAGCCGGTTCCGAGTAATGACACAACAGCACATCAATCTTCGGCCACAGATCGTCGGGCACCTTGGGATCGAACTCGTCAAAGTAGTGAGCACCACGGCGCACGGGTTTCCACATGCCGAGGTAGTACAATGCACCAAGCACAATGGAGACGAGCTCGGCAACAATGAGAGCAAAGAATGACACCCATTGAGCAATCGACGGGTTGTGAAAGCACGCGACGTCGTCTACACCTGCCAATGACAAGTACCAGTCAGGCGGCGTGAACCACCCGCTCATGGGATCAGCGAGACAGTCGAGCTCGTCAGGGGTGTTGACGTACACGTCTTCACAAGCTAGCGTCCGATTGCTCAAGTCGCAAGGCTGGATGCCCACGACGAACCAGAAGACCAGCCCAAAGATCTCGACGAGACTCAGGATCATAAAGAGAAAGTACAGGATGCGGTACGTGGTGATGCCCTTCATGTAGTACTTGCGGACGTTCGGGAGCTTCCGCTCAATAATGTTGCCCGAGCCGCAGGCCACAATCGCCGCTTCAACCCCTTCGAACCAGAGCCGGTACTCTTCCTCTGTCTCAGGGCAAAGCACCCAAACGCGGCGCTTTGTGTGCACCTCAAAGCCCTTGTGCGGAAGATCCAACCGAGCGCAGGGACGCAGTTGCAGCGCGTCCTTGAGCTCAATTGCACCCACGACGAGGTCCGTGTTCCGAGTGGTAAAGTACTGCCGACACTCGAGATGGGAGTGGAAGTAGTAGATCTTGGCCTTCTCCAGTGCAAAGTAGCGGCGTTTCCAGCTCTTGTGCATCGGGCCCTTGATCGTGCGCTTGCCTTGTTTGTGCATGTAGCCATGTACGGAGATCACATTGTCTTCAAAGTTGTCCGTCTGGTCCGAAGACATGGGGGCCCGTTCCAGTAGGTCGTTGGACGCTCGGCCTCCTGGGTGCAAAATGTCCATCTCGCTCGGCTGCTGCACGCCCGTGGACGACGGCGTCGTGTACATTGCATAGGCGTCCGATGGCGGGCCGGCCGACTGCTCCTTGTTGAACATGACAAACGTCCCGAAGCGGGGGGAATGATAACCGGGCGGACAAAAGTGGCTACAGGGCACCGACTACAAACGGGCAGTGACGTCCGACGGACGACTACGACGGCAGGAGGTCAAGAGAGGAGGAAACAACGATTGCACTCGCCCGTGTCTCGCTCACTCGTGTTTCTGTCGAATGGAAAAGTCTCGCGCCCAAAAGAAGTCGCGCGTTGGTTTTGCGTTGTCGCCTCTTTCTCTCTTTTTCTTTACCTTTCGCTCTCTCTTTCTCTTTCTTTCTTTCTTTCTTTCTCTCTCTCTCTCTCTCTCTCTCTCTCTCTCTCTCTCTCTCTCTCTCTCTCTCTCTCTCTCTCTCTTTCCCGCTGGTGAAACTCCAACTGTGGTTTCTCTCTATCACACGAGAAAAGCAGCCGGGGCGACGGGTTGAAACGCCATCTGGAAGAAGTGCGTAGATGGTGGATTTACGCCGAGGAATCAGAAGAGTGGACGGAAGAGGAGTTGGGCAGGGCGTCGACATTTGGGCACAGTACCCATTTCTTCTTCCTTTCGTTTTGCAGTCCGTCCTCTGTCTGTCTGTCTGTCTGTCTGTTGCACACTTCCGTCAATTGACCCACTGGTCAAATCTAGCAGCGAACGGTGGATTTTGTATCCTGCTCTGCCCATCATTCGCTCTGAACATCGCCATCATCATCAGTACATCTTCCGATCTGCCTTCCGCAAACACGACCGTGTTTGGCGGATTTTCGCTGCGAAGCGAAGCGGTCTGAGAAAAGTGTATCGCCGGATAGTGTGGTACATGAATGCGTCCAGCACCAGCACTTTGATTTGCGGACTTGTCATTTCGTTCGTGTCGCAAAGCGTTTCAGACACGACACTTCTGGCAAGAGAGTACCGACTACTGCCTCTCGACGAGTAAAACCTCACGGTTTCGTCCACTCCGTCCGCTCCGATCGGCCAAATGCTAATAATGGGAGAAGCTGTTTCGGTTGGAGAGCAAAGTGTACGATGTTACACCGCGACAGACTTTCGGGTCAGCTCGTTTTACAAAACCGTTCGAAGTGGGTTCAGACACGCGTGCGAAATTTTGACAGCTCATTTTTACTGTTCAGTAGCAATGTGAAGTATACTATTGAGCAGCGACACGGCAACGCACGCGCCACTGAACTGCTGACATTGCACGAAGATGCCGTTTGTCACAGTCTGAAAGTAGTTGCGAGATGTCATGCTGAGTGGCATAGTGTATCGATGTGTATATGAGTGCTGCGTCGCCCGTATCGACGCATAGTAGTAGTTGGCAGCCGTTTTATCGTGCATGTCGACAGTGTAGGCTGTCTTCGCACGACCGCCATCTTGTCTCTACGTGGCTCGCCAGACGTTTTGGCCAAGTCAATATGCCCTACCCGCTGAAACGAGGATCAAAGTGGATAAACAGACATACACGCCGCGCACACTAAAGCTAAAAGTGAGAAATATATTGAAAAATCAAGCACGTAAGAATATGGAGAGCTGCCGAAGTCTCCGATGCGACGTCTTGGATCTCAGCGAGGACCGGATCTAGTTGCTGGCCTATCACCCTACGCTACTACCTCCTCCCTAGAACGGGTTAGACGTCGGCTGCTCGATCCATACCCACAGCGTGATGAAGACGAGTCCGAACGCAATGGAAATAGAGCCCACGACGTTACCCTGGTCCATCAAACTCTCGTAACTCCAGCCAAAGTACTCTTGGATGCTCATGCGCACGCTCGGCGCCAGCTTGACAGCAATAAACAGACCCATCATCAGGCTTGCGAAGAGCAGCGACGCGCCGTGCGATGTCTGGATGCTGTTGTAGCCAGCCAGAAACCGCACCACAGACCACAGCAAACCCACGACGGTTCCAAAAAAGACGATCACGTTCGGAAGCTCGGCTGTCGACCCGCGGCTCGCACCACCGGTGTTAAACCACTTGGGCTCCTTGCCCGTAATTTTCCACCAGAATGCCTCCAGCACGGCGGTGCAATTTGTAAACGCGTAGGCGAACCACACTTCTTGAGACCGGATCACATCGCTGTTCTCGACTGTACGGTTGCTCAGCGCCGACAGCACACCCTGCACAAATAGCTTCGGCACCAAGGCGTACACGAGACGAACGCCAGCAATGTAAATCGGTGCGTAGCCAGAGAACAGGAAGTAAATCGTGATGTAGTAGAACAGGATAGCCGTGATCGAGCCGAGCGGGTAGAGCGTCGAGTTGTAGTAGAACACGCGGCGCATAAACTTGTTCGATTTGTGGTAAGATGGCACCTGCACTTCCGGCATCTTCCATTCCGGATCAAAGTACTGCGTCTTCTTGTTCATCAACACGATTTGGAAATTGCCCTTTGCCCAACGCTTGCGTTGAGCCAGTGAGCCGGCAACTGAGTCTGGGATCAAACCTTCCGCTAGACGAATGCGCTCGGTCAGCTCTCCTTCGAAGTCCTTTCGGAAGTACTGCGCCTTCCAACCCATCCCGCACAATACTTGGCCCGTGTAGCAATCCTCCGTCAGACTACCATATTGAATGCCGCCAATAGAGTCCAATGCTTCGCGACGGAACATGGCGTTCGTGCCAGCAAAAGACGCGCAGTCGTAACCGTCTTGACCGGTCTGAATCGCGTCGTAAAACGTGGCATTACGGTGACCCATTGGATCACCAATCTGGAGTTGGATGCAGTCACGAAAGTACTGAGGTGTCTGGACAAACGCGACGGCGTTGTCACGCACGTTGTCCGAGTAAGTGTGAAGAGACGATACACCCTCACCGTCGTTTTCCTTGTTGCCTGGATTGCACTTGCGACAAATGCCGCTCTTGCCGAGCTTCACGTCACAATTCATGCACCGCATGTCGGTCTTGCTCGCGCTTGTGTCGCTCATTGTGCCGTTCACCTGGCGACGGTGAACCGCACTTTGCACGTGCATCGCGTTCTCGAAACAGTCTTTGGAACAATAACTGATCTGTTCCTCCGGCACACCAGCAATCTGGCACGAAGCACAGCACAGCTTCGCTACCGAATTACACCCGATGCCACAGCAAATGTACTTGGCCTTGTCTTGACGATCCTCATCGTCGAAGAAGAACGGCAGCGTTGCCAGGACAAACTTCGGGTGCGGCTGCATGTCCGTATCGAGGATGATCAGATAGCGGCCGTTGGCGCCTTCATTGTACAGGCAGTTGTTGATGTTGCCAGCCTTGGAGTAGTGCGTTTCTGGTTTCACACGCCCGACAAATGTCACGTGCGGTAGACCAGGGTAGCGGTAGTCGTCACGGAATGATCCAGCAGCACAATCAATGCGGTTCACGACCTTGGGGCGCGACGGCGATGGTAAGTTCGCAGACGAATGCAGCTTACGCCACGCATACACCTCCATGTCTTCATTGGGGTCGCACACTCGATCGTACATAAACTGTGCCACCTCTTGGCGTAGATCACCAGCGGTTTCCAGCACACCCTTGTTCAGCTCCACCGTGGGAACTGCATTGGTCTTCGTCCACTTGGATTTGCAGTAGCCATCGTCTAGAACCCAGACCTGCAGCAGATGCGGCGGGTACTGCAGATTCATGCATGCCATCAGCGTGTCGATCGTCTCTTCAGCCGGTTCAGAGTAGTGACATAGGAGAACATCTACCTTGGGCCAAAGCTCATCCGGGACTGGCGGCTCAAACTCGTCAAAGTAATGTGCGCCACGACGCACAGGTTTCCACATACCCAAGTAGTAGAGAACACCCAGAGCGAACGTCAGCGTCTCGGCAAACAACATGGCAAAGTACGAGATCCACTGCATGATCGGCGGATCATGGAAGCAGATCACGTTCTCCACGTCAGCCACTTGTAGATACCACTTGGGCGGCGTAAACCATCCACTAAAGGGTTTGTCCGAGCACCTCAACTCAAGCAGAGACGTCGTTGTGATCGTCGCACAATCGACTTCCATACGCGACGCGTCGCAAGGCTCCAGGCCAATGACGAACCAAAACACGATAGCCAGTAACTCCACAATGCCTGCTATGAGGAACAAGAAGTAGAAAAAGTGGTACGTCTGGTTCCCTTTCATCAGATACTTGCGGACGTTCGGAAGCTTCCGTTCAATGATGTTCCCGGCCCCATTGGCCACAATGGCGCGCTCGACGCCTTGGAACCACATGCGGTACTCGTCGTCCGTTTCAGGGCAAAGCACCCAAACGCGGCGCTTTGTGTGCACCTCAAAGCCCTTGTGCGGAAGATCCAATCGAGCGCAGGGACGCAATTGCAGCGCGTCCTTGAGCTCAATTGCACCCACGACGAGGTCAGCGTTTCGTGTCGTAAAGTACTGACGGCAGTCCAAGTGCGAGTGGAAGTAGTAGATCTTGGCCTTCTCCAGTGCAAAGTAGCGGCGTTTCCAGCTCTTGTGGATCGGGCCCTTAATCGTGCGCTTGCCTTGTTTGTGCATGTAGCCATGTACAGAGATGAGGTTGTCGTGAGGCCCTCCAAGACCGACGGCGTCCGAGACGTTCATTGGTGGCAGCGCTGGCCCGCGTGGGTCAACGTATCCCTCTTGAGGGGTCGGTCGGCCTTCTTGGGAATAGATGGCGGCGTTCGCGTCATTGGCGCCCGTGACGGGCGTACCGTGAAGCTCATAGTCCTCGTGCTTTATCAGCGGCTGCTTGGCGTTGCCGTACATGGTCAAGTCGCTCGAGTACTACGTCTCCTCCTCCGCCTGTGCACTTTCTGTTGGATAGTGAAGGACGGAGATGGAAGAGCGAGTGGGGTATCAAGTGGGTGAGTGAGTGTGTAACTCGCAGGTGCTTTGCTCTCTCGCGAAGAAGCGCAACTGACCGACTCGGAGACAGCGAGCGCCCGGACGAAACCCCTGCGAATGCTGTCAAGGGCAAACGACCTCGTTTGAGTATGCGAATCGAGAGACCAGCTGGTGGTGGACCGTCCGCTCCCGAGCGGACGAGGTTTTTTAAAAGTGCCCAATTTTGGAGTTGCAACCGCCGTGGACATGAATCATGAATCACTGCGACCCACAGGACGTTATAGGCGCATCCATCCGTTACTGACACATGCACACACTCACACTACCACCGGCCTCAACTGTGATGCTACATGACCGTCAGTGGCTCGAGGTGAGAGAGATTCATTGTCACACGACGAGCGACATGTCTGGCTGGCACTCGAGCCCACCCAAATTTGCAGTGTCATGTACCGTATTCAAGTCGTTTGGAGCGGGAGAAAGATCGAATAGTGGTTGCAGGCTGCTCAAAGTCCATTGGCAAGAACGATGACGGTGTCGCGGGTCTGCATTTATAGGGTACTGCCGCCGTTCTTGTCGGTTTTCTGCACAAAGAACACATGCCTGGCTGCTTGTGCATAGAAGAAGCCGTGCCCTGACCCCAATGGCTTCAAATCGAGAATGATACTAAAGGCAGCTGGGCGGCGACGTTGAGCCGATTTTCCACAAGTTCTAGTCCGCACTTTACCAATGTGTAGCATTCGACCGCAGGTGATCTACCGAAGCGTCGGTACCAAATACACATTGCGGAGATGACGTTGGCATCATCAATATGGACGCCGAGATCACTAACAATCACATAGCAGTAGTCTCGATAACTATGATCAACACGATTGCGTATGTATTGTTTATTTATGAACTTGTAGCTGCCGTGTCGTTTGATCGCGTAGCTCCGGCCTTCTCTCGCCCTACGACTTCACGGCCAGATTCATCAAGTGCTCCATAAACACCTTCAGACTCACGTCGTCCGTGAAAATGACCTCGCCCTGCCCATCCATGCTGTTGTGCGTAACACTCGGGTTGAGCTTGGCCATCAGGAAACGCGACTGCGACTTATGCTGGTCGCACACGACGTAACGCGGAACAGGAAAGCGGGAGTCCATGATAAGCTGCGCGTCAGCCTGAGGAGCTTCCAGCAAATTCTTGAAATTCTCGTGAGCAGGGTCCTCGTGGAACTTCTGGTCACGCCACGCGGCGATCGTGTCGCCGTGGAACACCACCACGTAAAAGAACGAGTCTAGCAGCAAGATCGTGTCGGATCGGACGCTAGCAGCATCCAGCAGTGCCGGCACGGGGGGTCCGTTGAACGAGTACGACAACAGCGACGGCTGGATCATGACGAGCGAGTTTGTCGTACTCTCGCGCAGCAGGCAGTGACGGTAATACGAACTCTCATCGGGTGAGTAGCCGAACACGGTCAAAAACTGCGAACGGCGCAGATGGAACATGAACTGAGGAAAGATGGCGAACTCAGGCGATAGGCGGAAAGACGATGGGTCGTCCTTGCGGTAGTCGGCAAAACGGGCAGCCAAACGAATCAGTGACCGGTCGATCCAGCGCATTATATCGAGCTGCTCCTCGCCCTGCTCCGAGCGATGTACTGCGATACGTGCTAACATCACGGCGGCAGCCTCCTGGTCAAAGCCGCGACCGAGCGTCGCTGTATCACTTGAATCCACAGTCCAGGGACCACAGATCGTAGTCACACGCGTTCGGTAACGACCGCTTGCGTGCTGGTATCGCGTGATCAATTGAATGTAGCGAGCCTTACCATGCGCCAGCGGAGTCTGGTTCGAAATGTCAAAGTAAATAGCGATGGTGGTGTTGGGATCGATACCGCCCATCGACCAGGCGTTGGTGCCACCTACACCAATTTCCACCTCGGACACATTCTTCGGAGCTGCACCTTGGCGCTTCAGTGGAGCGCAAGGGCCAATGGCGCCTGCTACCTTGAACTCGCGGCTCGTAAGCACCTCCACCGAAGCTGCAAATGCCATTGTCAACTGCTCCTTGTCGCAGTCAGCTGCTTCGTCCGAGAACTTACTGAACATGCGCCGGAACGACTCGCGGAATACAGACTGACCGAACGAGTCGGCAAGTACAATCACACCGCCGGTCTTTTGTACACAATCCGCCATTTCCATCACACCACTCTGATCGAGGGAGCACGCAAAGATATCTACGACGTGGCTAGAAGCTACACACCGGGCTGCGAGGTCGTTGTAGTGCGACAGCGCCTTCTTTGTAAGCGGCGCCTTGTCCTTCTGCAAGTCCGTGTGCGAACGAATGTCCTCCTTGCGGTCGCGACTGACGATGGCACCTGGGCCGACGGTTGGAGGTCCACCAACGAACATCATGATACGGGCTCCTTGGCCGCGGAACGTAGCTTCCAAGAGCCCCACACACACTGACATTGCAACACCTGTGCAGCGTTGTGGTCGCTGGTCGGCTGCCACGGGCCAAGGGTCGCGCTGCAAATCTTCCAAAATGGATTCAAGCGTAAAGCCGCATTCGAACACTGGAAGCAAGAAGCGGGCTGCGTTGCTCGTTTGCTGCTGAGGCTGTCCTGACATCTCCTGCTGTCGTTGCTTGCGCGTCGCAGCCAAACCCAGCATGTCGAACACTTGCTGCGCAGTGAAGTCCTTGTTGCCTCGAAAAACGTGCGACTTCGGCACTTCCGGGAACCCTAGCTCGTGCACGTGTACCATCGTACCAAAAGTGACGAGACCAATGAGCGCGTCCGGCGGCAGTTGATTGAGCGTTTGCTGGATCGAGTCCCTTAGTTCCTCCAGCTCATCCTCAGGCACACATGTGTCGATACAAAAGACAAAGACAGGGGGTCCAGCTTGACGGTTCTGCAACTCATACTCAAGGGTCGTGTACTGCGGGATGAGCTCGGCAGGCAGGTTTTCTTGCGTAATGTTCTCCGCATAGTGTGGAGGAAACTGGTTGCGCGTCACACAAAACGGACACACCCAGAGCTTGGAGACAAAGTCCACCTGACAGTAAGGATTCAGCACAGCAGCACAGGCCTTGCAATGAATGGGGTCGTACTCCACAGCAGGCGGCATACCGTCAATAGGCTTCAGCGGCTGGTACAGACACCCGATAGGCATGACACATCGTGTCTGTTCCAGTTTAGTACAGGGCCATGAATTCCACGAGAAACGCACGCCGTCCTTGGCCTCCATGGCGTGGAAGTCCCACTCCTGGGGCTGCATGCCTGGCTGGTAGGCGCCTTGTTGGCCATACTGATCGTAGTCTTGGGGTTGCTGCTGCTGATGACCGTATTGATCATACGCTCCCTGCTGACCGTACTGCTGCTGCTGCTGCTGGGGGTCGTAAGCTCCTTGTTGTGAATGCCCATACTGCTGCTGCTGCTGCTGTTGGGGATCGTAGCCTCCCTGTACCTGCTGCGGTGCATACTGCTGTCCGTATCCGGCTTGTTGCTGGTCATACTGTTGTGGCTGCTGGCCGTAGCCGTCCGGTTGCTGGTCGTAGCCGCTGTAGCCGCCTTGTTGCATCGCCAGCGGAGGGGGGGGCTGCTCGTGACGGAATCCACGCGTTTGATGAGAGCGTTGGCAGCGTCTGTGGAGCACGCAAGTTGGTGTGCGCCACACGACACGGCGAAATCTATTCCGACAAGGAGGGACACTATTCCTACGAGGAAGGACACTGACGTGGGGCCCGGAACGCATGAGCATGTATTGCTTTAGTTTACATTATGTACAAAGGCGAATGTGCACCGCCCCTCCCTGCGTGTTACTGGTGGCTACATCGATAGAGTCAATTCACTGGCATGTACAGCTTGCTCTCGATGCGGCGTTCCTCCCGCCGTCGACGGAGAAACGTCGCCACTTTGCTCAGACTCACGTACACACCAACTGCAAAGAAGGGCAGGACGATTGCCCATGTTGCCGGGTGAGCCAGCACTCCTGTCAGGCTCGACAGCGACTCGCTCGACTGCACGTGGCGAGCAGCTAGTGCGTTATCCGAGCGCAGTGGAGAGCCAGCCTCATTGTGGTGTCTCGAGTAGTAGATATTAATTTCCATTGAAGAGTCTTCGTCTCCCCCGTCGTTCCTGAGCGCCTTCAGGTGCGCGGACTGCACGGATGCGGCCGTCGTAGACGCTCTCAGTTCACCGTCCGTGGATAGCGCGTTCACACAGTCAACAGACAACACGTCCGCATGAGCGCTCATGCAGAGCCGCACCGCGCTTAGTGCGTCAATGATCTTCCGGGGCTCGACCAGGTCTGGAGCTTCGCGGAGCAGAGCTATCACGTTGGCCTCTTTTTGACAGAAGGCGACCGCATCTTGCGCACACACGGGACTAGTGGCAGTGATCATATGGGCTGCCAGTAACGCGCTCGCGTCGTCCAGTGACTCCGTGTGCGCTTGCGGCTCCATCTTGCGGTTTACGCTGGAAATGGCGAATGCTAACTGCAAATAAACCTCAGCAAAGACGCGTCGTCTTTTTCTGCTATCCCTATTGAGACGGCTACTAGGGCTGTGGTCAAATCGATGCTTGCGGGAAGTTGTTAGACGACAAGTCTCTTCTTAGCACGACCACAACTTTAAGCGAAAAGACATGCAGTGGCATCGTCTGCCACAAACAGCGACTGCAATAGTAACACCAGATGTAAAAAGAGTCGGACTTTATGCTCCATTTGCCATGCGTTAGGTCTTCAATAGTGACATGTGGCTGCGTCTTTTTCCACGAGATGGTGGTCGTCAGACACTAAAAGCGGTCCAACCTGGACCTGCGTAATTACGTGCCACGAGAATGTTCTCCCTTCTTCGATGTGGGCATGCCGTTTGCGTCGATTGGGCGTAAGAAGCGTAAATAAGGTGCGCGGTGTGGCACAGCGTCAAGTCGACCTTTCGCGATGGCACGACCACTGCCATGTCATGTGCCCCACACGAAGTAATTGTCAAACACAACATGAGTATCTTGTGCAGCGCAGACGTGCGCGAGCTGCAGTGTCTGCTCTGGCCAGCGCTAGACGCCGGCGCGGTGTCCGATGACATCCAACGATGGTATCAGCAAGGCTTTGAGTTCCAGACGCGGGAGGGCTTTACGCTCGGACTCGTGCAGCACCACGGCGGTCCTTGCGGCGTGCTGGCCGCGGTCCAAGCCGAGATGCTGCGACTCTTCCTCTTCGTGCGTCACCACGAACCAGAGATCCGAGACGGTGTCGATCTGCAACTGCTAATCAAAAGAGAAGTGCCTGATGACGCTGCGAGGCAACGGCTGCTGGCAGAGGCCATGGCTTCGCTGCTAGTGCAATGTGCCGGTGAGGGGCAAGTGGTGCGCGTGGTAATACAAGTCAAAGAGGACACGTACAGAGAGAGTGTAGTACCAGTTGCAGATGTAGGCGCATGCCGTTCGTCTTTTAAACTTGTAGAGATTCTTCTGCAGGACATGTCATCATTTTGCTGTCCGCACGGCGTCATGAACTTCACGTTCAGCGTGCTTCGAACGAAGTGTGTTGCATCTGTGCGCAACGAAATGGACAGCCCGACAAACGTCTTAACGGGCGCTTTTGGACACTGTACACAGGAGCTACTGAATCTGCTACTCACGGGCAAGGCTGTGTCCAACGTCTTTGACGGGACCGTCGCAATGGGCGACTCGGGTCTGTTTTTGCACGGCGTGTCACAGCGGGCGCGAATCGGCTACTTGACGCAGCTAGAGGCGTTTCGATACTGTCAAGTTGGCAGTTTCTACAAGTCGCCACAGTCTTCCGTATGGGTGATTGGCAGCTCGTCGCACTTTAGCGTCGGGTTCGCATTGGACGCCCGGCTGAGCGAGGAATCAGCCTCCGCACAGCTTTATCAGCGCGTGCATCGAGTCTTTAGTCAATTTGACCCGATGGAAACCGGTCTGATGAAATCAGAGTCATTGGCGAATTCGCTAACGCAGTTGGGAGTGGATTCTGCACTTATTTCGGACGAGCACTGGATGGCGCGACTTTTAGCTCGACTCGAGGAAGACATCGGTCTCATACTCTGGGATGAGTACTGGAAAGTCATTTCGGTGCTGCTACACACGAACGACTTGGACTTGGCTTTGTCTGGATGCTACGACGCGAACGTCGCAAAGTCAGAGCACCATCCGATTCTACGCTCTGACTCTGACATTGCGCGGGAACTGCAACGACAGTTCGACGCTGAAGAAACAAGAGACCCGGCTAACTCTTCTGCGTCCATGTCGCAACCGCTTCCATGTGAGCCAGTTGCGACTCCACAAGTGTCATTTGACTGGTTTTACTACAACGGGCTCGGAAGCAAGGATGGCTGTAGTACTGGAAAAAGCCCTGAACTTACAAAGTGCCGTGTGACGCTCGAGAAACAGGTGGAGTTTATTGGCAAATCGGTACCATTTGGATATTCTGGATCAAGTGGTGGCCACAGCTCGTTTTCACTCGAAGAAATCATGAGGACAAAGTGGCCAGACGCCCGGATCGATTGGCTGGGCTCTCCAGTACCAAGCATTGACTAGTCGGAGTTGCGAAGTGCGGTCTGAAGGTTATCAAAGCACGCAGATGTGTCACGCATGTTACAAAAAGCGTCATAATGCTGGATGCTAGTGCAACGAACGGACAAAACGTGGCTGTTCCTATGGATGTCATGGTTGTGGTACATCACGCGCCACTGGCGTTGTATTGACTATATGGCGCTACGAGTCGTCGAAAATACAGCAAGTATGCGGTAGCCAGCAGCCAGCGTGCAACAACTAATTGCAAAATTAATTTCGGACTAACAACAGACAAGTTTGTTGCAATAAGATGCTACACAACAGCGAGTCAAAGCCTAGTTATTACTCGTAACGCTTGCCCTACACGCATTGGTGCAAAGAAATGCTTGCTTCTCGATTAGCATCTATTTGCGAGCAGGTAATGTCAGCCCATTAGGTAATAGCGGCTTCGTAACGAGCCTCAAAGGTGGCTGCGGCGATGGTAGCAACGCAAGCCCGACCTCAAATAAGTCGATTCGTTCACTTAGCTTCCAATAGATCTCGCATGACAGCAGGATTAAGCTTACATACAGGGACTGCCTTCCCCGCGAAAATTCTATCGACATGTTGAGGACTGATCAGAAATCCGACACGTCATTGCGCAAAGCGTACCACAATAATCTGCCCACCACGTCGATACCCACCGCGGTGCATCGTGGTCATAGCGACAAGTAATCTCATTCTGTAAGACGTGTTCGAGTCGATGAGCTCCCTTATCGATCGCTTTTGCACTACCCGTCATGAAGCTGTCAAGTTGACCTTTGCCAAGCCCATATCATGGCACAAGCAAGGACGCTGTAACTGTCAAGCGAGAATCCCAACAATAATGCACACTAAAGCTGCGACCGGTGTATCATCTGTTTCCTTGCTTTTCGTTTCGGGGACAGCTAGATACACTTGATGAGCAATTGCATCGCTTATAGTCTGCTCATGTATAACAAAATGGCTAATGTAATGCATGATGTCGATTCAGCTGCCAAATTTAGGATCGCAAAAAAATGGTAGTGCGCCTATTGCGCGGATCACTTACTGAACTCTGGAAGCGACCGCAGGCGGCGGACTTTTGCGACTAACTATCCTGACGGCTTTCTCACAACAACTTATAGCAAGCCATAAGCTATCAATCGCTATCTTGGTAATCTGATTATGCAGCTACCCTTTCGCTTGCCATCGGTAAAAATAGTACGCAACCATATCCACTGAACCCTTAGCCGGGAATGTAGCGCATTTGCCTTTTCGTAGTGCCTACGCCTTTTCTGCTTGCCAAGCTAGGATCGCTTCTGTACTGACTGAACGACTCGGTAAACACAATCGTATGTTTCTCGTTGCATTATTTCTTGATCCGGTGAGGGAAAGCACGCTTGACGTCAAGTTACAGCTGACAATTGTTGCTGACGTAGATCATCGATCATGCTTACAATTACAAGTGAGACCCTACCTATTGATGGCACAAGCCTACGCGCTAGCCCCTGCTCGTTCCGGTCGATTCTACACCACAATCTGCACGGCAAACTAGTGGATCAACGATGGCTACATATACCAGCTGCCGATTCGAAAGATGCTTCACTTGCTAAGCATCGGCCAGCGACAGTGCGGAACCACCACTTGTAACCTATGGCAGTCGAAAGCACGCGCATCAACTCAGCGACCGCGGTTCTGCAATGTCGTTTCGCTCTGCGCTTCAGCATTCACCAATTTGGGCTCATACCGCACGCGCATCGAATCGCTTACGTGAAGACATGGGATACAACATGGAAAGAATCGTGTCCGCCGGCCCTCACATTGGTGCTTGTGCAAATAGAAGAAGCCACGACTACTTGAAATGAACTCTTAGAAGTGCAGGAAACGCTCTACAGATAAGTCGACTTTCTTGATGGATAAAGAAGAAAATTAAATTAGATGCAAACTCAATCATCGTGAGCTACTTTGACGCCTTATGTACACTTACTAGGATGAGGCCACTGCGGGTACTCTCAATGTTGAGTCCTTCTTTGATGTGACTCAGTCTTAAACATTGATGAATAAGTGACCAACGGATTGTGCATTGTCAACTTTGGGCTCCTGATCATCTTGGAAAACAGACTACAACCATGCACCCTTCACATATTGCACGTTTGCTAATGATTGCGAATGCATATCAGCAACGTAAGAAACTGTTATCATCACGACTGATATCGACTGCTGTGTGATTACCCAGCTAATAGAGAAGCGACTGGCACTGGAAAATAATGCATTGGCGCAGATTTGTATGCCCGTAAGAGTTTGGAAGCAGTCCAGACAACAAACCCTCGACGTACTAGAAGCCCGTCCTCACTTTCAATATATTTCAGGTAGACCAATCTCGTTCATATTCAAAACAGCATTCGTAGTCAGAATCAAATATTACATCGCGTGGTCACGCAAGGCAAATCTAGGCCAGCACGAAATCATATACCATCTTGCGGGGTCATCGATTCTACCCCTTGATCAATCGATACTTTCAGCATCACATTGAGCGTCAAGTGAGACTCGGTCGCAACTTAGGAGGTGATCGAACGTCGACGAGGAAGGCGATTTCCAACGACAGCTGTGACGTACTGTCGAATTTTTGAATGGGCTTGTACGCTGATAGGGTCCGAGCGAGAATACGAACGCAGGGCGATTGGCGAACTCCCCATAAGAAACAAGACTGGATAAATGGAGGCGGTCAAAGGCCTATTTTTGTCTCTACATGCTACACGTCCTATCACCTGACGCCATAACTAGCGTAGACTTGAAAAGGAGGACCACGAGGGTATGGACAGCCATGCACACACCACAACTAACACCGATAGATCCGTCTAGTGACGAGCACCCCCAATCATCTAAGCCTCGTGGCACACTATTCTGTACGACGTGTATGTGGCGCTCTTTCTTAGCAAGGCTGGATAGCATTTTCACCACCGAGGTAAGAAAGGTGTTTATCAATGCGACATCAATGGACAGTAAGTGTGTATACCATTCTAACGCAATGTATGACAGGATTTTGCGGATTGGCTGTCGGCACAAACGAGTGGCGCACTCAGCCACACCCCATACTTACTGCACGATCGAGCCGTCAGTATCTGGAGAGCTCGCAATGCCGTCCGGTAGTTGATGAGAGGTTTTATTCTGTGAGGGCTTGTAATCAGGAAATATCGGCTGAATAAAGGTGGCTTCGCAAAAAAGGGTGTGGGCCCAACCGCGCTCTTTTTTTGCATGTCAACTTAGGGCTTTGCCTTCGGTAATTCCACCAGCCGAACCGGTTACAGCTAGATGGATACATTCGAGATTGATGGTCGTCCGATCCCGCACCACGAACGGCTCGACCACTTTCGTTCGTTCCCACCAGACGAGTGAGTCATCGCTGGCCTCGTCCGCCATGAGCAACGCCCTGTACGCGTCCGTGAGGCAGGACGACGCCCTCGAGGGCGCCGCGCCGACGCCGACGCTGCGGCCCGTCTCGTCTTTTCACGTGGCCCCAGTCACGATACGCGACGCGCGACCCTCAAGAAAGTTCTATTGGCGGTGCTAATCGCTACGCCGTATCTCGTGCTCGTCGCGCTGCTGACGGGCGCGCGCACCCGCACCGACTATAGCAGCACGAGCGCTTTTGACCTGTACAGTTCTTCCAATGAGATGCAGACCAGAGACGTGTGCGTTGCTGCGCGCCTGCAGAAGCTCAAGACGCAGCGCGACGTGTACTACGACTCGTCTCTGCTCTCCCGTGCGCAGCGCTACGCAGCGTTGCAGCAGAAGGGCGCGACGCTTTGGTTCACGGGACTATCAGGCAGTGGAAAGAGCACGATCGGACGGGCGCTGGAGCAGGAGCTGCTGCGCCGACGCAAACACGTCTACCGACTGGACGGAGACAACGTGCGTCTCGGTCTGAACCGAGACTTGGGCTTTTCGGAAACGGATCGGGCCGAAAGTGTGCGTCGTGTGGGCGAAATATCTGTGCTGTTCGCTGAGGCGGGTGTGATTACGCTCGTGGCGCTCGTGTCGCCCTTCCGCGCTCCTCGGGATGAGGTGCGCGCGCTGCACGAGAAGATGGACATTCCGTTCTACGAGGTGTTTGTGGACGTGCCAGTGTCAGTAGCTGCTGATCGTGACGTCAAGGGCTTATATAAGCGGGCGATCGAGGGAGAGATTAAGGAGTTCACAGGTATCTCGTCGCCGTACGAAGAACCGCAGAATCCGGAGATTTACCTGAATACGTCGAGACAGTCGCTTGAGAACGAGGTCAAAGTCATTCTGGACAAGCTGGAAGTAGACGGACTGCTCACTGGAGTGACAGAGCCAGCTAGCGGGTACCCTGATGTAGCAGCATCGCATGAAGGAAACGCTACCGCGACATTCTCGATGCTGGTCGCGGACCAACCGCGTAACTTGAGCTCTCACGATTACGATGCACTACCTCGTGTGCTTCTACGCCATGAGGACGTGCACTGGCTGCAGGTGATTAGCGAAGGATGGGCCGCACCCCTGCGTGGTTTCATGCGTGAGGGTGTCTACTTACAGTCCCTCCACTTTAGTAGTGTGCTGTATGGCGCAGACAATCTCACTGTCAGTCAGCTGACCCTTTCCAGGCCCACTAACTTTTCCGACTACTCAAATGAGTTTGTGTCGGAAGGTCGGCGTGTGAGCATGCCGGTACCCATCGTACTTCCGATCAACGACGCTGCAAAGACGCGCATTGGCGCATCGAGGCTCGTAGTGCTTGTAGGTCCGTCTGGCGAGGAGCTTGCGTTGCTAACGGACCCTGAAATATACGACCATCGCAAGGAGGAGCGTATCGCACGAACGTTTGGTGTCATGGACAATGGCCACCCTTATATCGCTGAGATTTTGAAGTCGGGTGAGTACCTGCTCGGCGGTGAGATTGAGCTGCTGGCCCGCATCGAGTACAATGATGGTTTGGACACGTACCGCATGACCCCAATGGAACTGCGTGACCGTTTTACGGAAATGGGCGCCGATGTTGTGCTTGCTTTCCAGACGAGAAATCCAACCCACGCTGGTCATGCGTACCTGATGAATAACGCCCGCGAGCAGCTTCTCGCACAAGGCTACGAGAACCCTGTACTGTGGCTGTCTTCTCTTGGAGGCTGGACGAAAGAAGACGATGTGCCTCTTGACGTGCGTGTGCGTCAGCATGAAGCAATCATACAAGATGGTATGCTTGACAAAAATAGCACTGTTCTATCTATATGGCCCTCTCCGATGATCTACGCTGGACCTCGCGAGGTGCAATGGCACGCAAAAAGCCGCAAGAATGCTGGTGCAAGCTTCTTTATCGTGGGACGCGATCCTGCCGGCATCAAGCGCTCAGATGGCGAAAAGGACGATCTTTACGCCGGCGACCATGGTCGTTTTATTCTTCATATGGCACCAGGCATGGAGGGCTTCAACATTCTGTCGTTTCCGAAGGTGTACTACGATGTGCGGGACCAAACGATGAAGCCGATGGAACTCAGCCGTGAGCTGGACTTTCTGTCGATCTCGGGCTCTCGTATGCGCGATATGGCGCGTAAGGGTCTGCAACAATGCAAGGGTGGTATAATTCCAGCAGGCTGGGAAGATGAACCGACGTGCGTGCCACAGGGGTTCATGGTCAAGTATGGCTGGGATGTCATGGTCGATTACTATCAGAACACCAATAGTCCGCGCTGGGTTCCGTTTGGCGTGCAATTTTCGAAGCCTGTCGTTGATACGACACGTTCGTTCACGTCAGTCGGTACGTATGGTCGCACTGACTACAAGCTTTACTTCAAGAACGACAAGGGCGAAAAAGTATCTCCATGGCACGACATTCCACTCTACTCGATGGACTCAACGAACAATCGCTCATTTAATTTCATCGTCGAGATCCCGAAGGGAATGGCGCACAAAATGGAGGTAAATAAGGAGGAACAGTACAACCCAATCATGCAGGACACGACACACAACGGCACTCGTGGCCGTGACTATCTATACGGAGTTCCGTTCTTCAACTATGGCCTTTTCCCGCAGACGTGGGAAGATCCGAGCGTGAAGGACGAGAGCGGGAATGGTGGTGACAATGACCCGCTAGACGTCATCGAGATTGGTGCGAAGCAGTTGCCCATGGGCTCGGTGATCCCAGTCAAAATCCTTGGTTGTCTAGAGCTTGTTGACCAGGGCGAAGTGGATTACAAGATTTTGGCACTGTCCATGGATGACGGGGACGCCGGGAAGATAAATAGTGTAAGTGACTTGCAGAGCGTGAAGCCTGGTGTGTTGGATGCGTTGGTAGATTGGCTCACGAAGTACAAGATTCCGGAGGGCAAGTCGGCCAATGTGTTTTCTCATGCTAGACCCACGTCTGCAGATGCCGCCGTCGAGATTGTGGCGGAGACACATGAGCGGTGGCAGAAACTTCAGGCAGGAGAGGTCCGGGTCAAAGATCAGTTCTGGCTCAAAACTAGGTCTACAAACTGAGCACCAGGCTCGTGGTTTGCGAACTCAGGTCGGCTCTGAACAAATCTTATTTACGAATTGAGGAATGGATTGAGGCGTGGATTGGGCGAATGAGCGACACGATTTGTTGCTTTTTTGGTGGCGGCAGGACGGCTAATGCGCTTCTGTTGTGGGCAGGAAGGCTGGTCGAATGGAGTATTAATAAGCGTGAGTACATATCAACAGCTCGTCAAGCTGCAAAGATCAGGCTGAGTGATGTACTGAAGTCACGTCTGGTGTGATAGTATCCACCTGCAAAGCAAGTCTGACTCAGACATCGAGTATCTGTTTGCCGTCACCATTAAATGAGTGTGGCGTCAGGTAGTGCATATTGCAGCTGGATCGCGCGTAATCCTTTAGCTTTGTCGAGATGCACTGACATGAGACTCGATCGACACGCGGATACAGCACATCTGAAATCGGCGATTTCTGTGACTCTGTTTATGTCGTTTGTACCGAAGCGTGCGATATGTTCAATTCGTTTACATAACGACGTCGTGACACTTACAGCTATGTCCAAAGAAGGCGCTCGGAGACTTAGCGACGAGTAAGTGTTGAGACGTCTTAGCAGCATATCGCTACCAGGAAATAGCGGATATACTGGTAATGTAGTATGACTTTGGACTTGGCTTGCTAGTTTCATTTTTGACACCGATTGCTGGGGTACCCTCCTCATGGGATTCGATATCGCACATCTGATAGTATGGTATCGGCCAAGCCAAAAAGTATCTCGTATTCTGAAATATACACGTCATGTATGTACAACGCGCAAAGTCTACAACGCTCTTCATTATTCGTAGCCGGTCTACGTTTGAGCCCAATAAGCGCGCAATTTCTGCAGCTTTTATTCGCAGAATGTCCCGCAAGTGGGTCAATAATGATCGTGATTACCTAGTGATCTTGCAAGAATAGCGTTGTGTAATCAATATCGTCGTTGCTTCCAGAATGGTCGCACGTTACCTCACCGCAGTACTCGTATAGCTTTCGACTTTCGTCCTGCTGTGGTGCGAGGTACTTTTTTGTGCCCATACCGGTAGCTCCCGGTTTTGGACGCCGCAAAGTCTCGGTCTTCTGCTAATTCAGTACCCTCTCGAGCTTGTCGCTGTAACCACCGACCACTTTCACAGGAGAAACCATTTGCATCCAACGCACGCAATGCAGCAAAGTCGAGGCCGAAGACTGACGCCGCAGGACCACGAGGAGGACGAGCGCGTGGTCTACTGCGGTCTCGAAACAGACTCCCACAGCCGCAGTCTTCTGCTTTCCCGTGACGATGCGTCCTCCCCCGTGCAGTCTCGTCACGCTGCGACTGCAGCAAAGACCAAAGCGGCTCGAGACGGTCAGTGCTGCCACCGGATGTACCCTCGACACCATCTTTCTCTGTTCGATATCGGTGAGTGAGACACGTGACAGGGAGTGCAGTGCCGATGTTGTGTTGTGACTGACAGTGGATGTAGAGGACAGTGAAGACGAAGCAGGAGCGGAAAAGTCAAATCCCTTCGAGTCGCTTTTGCTGCAACAACAGACAACGAGACAAACTGAGGTAGCGGAGGTGCCTCCTGAGGCGGAAATGAGCGTGAGCTGGAATGATGTGGGTACGGGGTACATGGAATCGAGCCGAATAAAAGCGACTGGTGATCAATCAAAGAAAACGGAGGAGAACCGAGACAGTGGACGAATGTCCAGCTTTAAAAAGATCTCTAGTCACAGCTGCGAAAATGAAGAGACTTCTTGTTTGAGGCCGAAATCGATGCAAGAGTCCGAGGAATTCACAACCAGATTCAGGTCGGCGGGCGATAAGAAGAAGTTGGGTTTCGAGGCGGCAGAGTCAAGACCGGCAAGGTGGAGCTCGAGGAAACCATCAGCTGTAGACACCAAGAACCGTCGGAAGTCACTGAGCGGAATTCAGAGGCAACGCTTGCAGGTGGAAGCGAACGTTGCGAAGAGGTAAGCGCATCATCTCCCTCTTATTGCGTGGCCGAAGAGTTTCACAAAGGTTACTGCATCGTGGTGCTACCGGTAGACGCAAGTCGATGCCAGTGAATTTGCTTGACCCTCATGTATCGCATAATCGAGCAAGCGAGGACGGTAGAACGGATGGCCCTCGGCGACTTATGTCTGACGTTTTACAGCGCGCGACGTTGCTATCACAGCGACCGATCGTAGCCAGCAATGAGGTTCGGTTTTGTCTAGTGCGTGTGTGCAGCGTCGAGGCTGACAGAAATGCTCATATAGGTAGTATTCTTACAGGTTTTGTGGTCTTCGTTTCTCTTTTGCTACAGGAAGCTGACGAAGCCCCTATGATCGGTGATACAATCCTAGACACTGAGCATCAGATGCGATCCGAGCGTTTTCAGCCGCAGATTTTTTCTCCAGCCAAGTCTGCATCGATGAGCACTGCCCTCTGTCGAACACGTGATGCTGGCACGGTCATGTCTAAAATACGCGGTGGCATTGGTGGCGTGATTTGCAAATCGATTCGAAAGAGTAATCGGGATCTTACGCTGCTCAGATCACACTGTCAGCACTTGCTCTCACGACAGCGCAATCATTCTTCATCGGCGGCTTTCACTGATGCAATTATGTCAGTTCAAGATCGAGCGTACGTCATTATCCGTCTGACACGTTTTTGTGGATCACCACATTTTATTGCGTACGAATGTCGTATGCACCAGGTGACGTGTAAGTTGGAGAAAACAATCGCTGGTGAACTGATGAAAGACTCCGCGGTGCTTGAAGCACACTTTCAGCCCCAAACAGCAGAGTATCTCAGGTTGTCCCCGAAAAAGCTGCTTAAAGTGTTTGAGCCTCTTCATTTCTTTCGGGAGCATGCAGCAGTCGGTTCTATAAGTAAGCCTAAATGGTTTCTTGCTAGCACACAATTGACACAAGTGATTACAAGCGATCGTCACGATGCTGAATGACTCGGAAAGCGCATACCATTGAATTGAGCGGCAGAAGTGCGCGCCGATACGATCAGGTTACTTGGTGTTGCTGAGGAGTCTATCAAAGGGTTTTCTTGAAACTTGAATGGAGACACGAGGCTTCTGATCCCGGGTCGTGTACTGAACATTTAAGAAAAGTTTGTGATGTTCAAGCAGACGCAACTGAACTAGTGGTGTTGTTGCAAGCTCTTGCAATTAGGTAGTTACTCGCAGCGTGTTAAGAAGCAGTTGGAGCATCTTCAGCTGTTTGTTCTCATTGTTTTCGCCGCTGACTCTTGCTGCTGGGCGGGGTGGGATTGCAAGGATGAAAGATTCAGCCAACAATTGAAAAAACACTGTTAGCTCTGCAAACGAAACGTCAATCTACGCGATGCAATGTTGCATTCAGCGGCCGCTAGCTACAACATCTGCATTGACGGGATGCAAAGAATCAGTGGCCAACGAAGACAACGGTTGGCTCATACATTGCAAGTTTCCATCGTGACTACACAATGAACGTGCACGTGGATGCAAACGGGGTGACGACCTGTTAACGAGCATGCCGTTTGACTGTGCACGAATTGTGTGTGCCGCAATTGTGTCTAAAGCTAGCTAGTGAAATTGTAAAATATTCTAGTAGATAGACGGGTAGTTCTACATCTTGCCTCTGTATCGCAGCGTAATGTGAATGCCAGTCTATCATATTTATCCTCTGCATGGGGCAAACCAATTCGATCAACTTCCGTTGGTAGCCCATTCTTTCAGCAATGTCGAGCACTTGATGCTACCATTGCGCAGCATACCTTCCAATGTTCGTGGCGCAAAATTCAGATGTACCGCACGAAATTCAGGCTGTAGCAAACGCAAAGTATCCTGCTTCATACACCGATCCCCACCGCGCCCAATCTTAAACGCGTCCCCCGCGTCCTTGACAAGCTTCAGCCACAGCAAGTTCTCCAAAGCTTTTTGAGCTTCGCTACGCGTTGGAAGTTGAGTGAGCATGTCGTGTTGACGAAGGAAATTCTCCCATCGAGCATATACCATTTCCAGCGTAAAAACCTTTTGACCGCCTTTTTCCAGATGACCCATGCCAATTAAGAGCGCAATACCGTGCTCGGTAACAGTCTCCAACACAGCTAGTTGGTGATCCTGCTCCAGCAATTGTCTAGCGCGCCAGAAATGCCTAGCTGATAGTAGCGGTGTATCAACATCAAGATAGTAGACTGCAGCAGAAGTAAGCCTCACAAAAAACACTTGCGGCTTGCCAATGTCGTAGTCGAACTCGAGACTTGCAAAGAACTTGCTTTGCTCTGAAAGCAGCTTGTTGACTCCGCAAGAGAAAGCTGCAGCGTATTCGACAGAAGGTTGTCGTAATTCGCTGTGAGCGCTCCACGGAAAAGTGTCGAGGGAAAGCAAGTGCACTAGGTGTTGACGTATCTGCGCAAACGAGGGTCTTTCAACAATAATTTGAAGATTCGAGAACCTGGTGTGCGGGCCAGCAACAATGATGGCATAAACGCACGGCAATTGTCACATGACATCCAAACAAATCGGTACGTACACGAAAGCAGAACACACAGGCTTACCTGGAACGAACTCGCTTTTCTAGATTGTCCACGACATTGTAGTTATCGGTGATACCAAGCACGCCCATCTTAATGTCTTTTGCCTACGACAAATTGAACGACATTATAAACAACGATAGCACCATCAAGTGGAAAACCTGCGTTATATTGTACCTGAAGCCAGTCCAGCAGGTTGTATAATAGCAGCTGCTTTGTGTTACTGTTTTCTCGCACAAACTGCTCCAAGGCGTCTAGAATGACAACCACGTGGTCTCCAGCCTTGGCTTTTGAGACAAGCAAACTGCGTAGATACTCGTACATGCTCCAGTAGGACACAACCTGTTCACCATGAGTGCAATTTCACCCATCACGTTGTTAGCAGATACTTTAGATATATCCAGCTGAATCATCTATTCTCTCGAACGTACGGGATGTTTTACAGCTGCAGCTCGCGTAAGCTGCGCCGTGAGTTCCTTAAAAGCCTCGAGCTCGTTCTGCAGAATCACTCCATTTAGGTAGACGACGGTAAAACTGCCATATTTTTCGCGCAGTCTACGCATTGCGTGCATCACAATGGAGCGCCTGCGACTGCTGTCCGACCCGAGCAGCAGACCTGATTGGTTCTCACCAAACTGTACTGTGCGCTCGAGTAGGTGCTCGAGCTGCGTCACTGCTTCCATGCTGCTTTCACTCGGTGCCTTCTTCGCGCTGACAAAATGGTAGGTAGAAGAAAGTTCGCCCTTCAACCGCATCCGCAAAGCGCTGCGAGCAGAGTGCACCTCCTCCTTCAGGTACATGCTCTGCTACGATCGGTTTTGTTTGCGTTTTGTGCTGCACTAAACATTCTGCTTATTTAACCCCAAAAGAGAAATGTAGGAAATCGAAAGCACGAGTTGCTGATTTGTAAGAAAAACTCGAAGCAGGCGACACAGATATATCGGCTTGCTCAAGGGACCGATATGGTACTACAGTCGTCCCTCCATATAAGAACCTCTATAGAGGGTTAAATTCCTGTTTAAGGAACTTCGTGTCCCGCACCAAGCTGCGTCACTTGTTTTTTGTATGCTGACTCTATCTAGGAGACTTAAGAAATAGGGTACTAAAACAACGCGCACCGACCACCAGTTTCCCTCTATATTGGACTTGCCGCAGTCTCGTATTGCCTGCCACTTTGCACATTTGCTTCCGTTTCACCTTAAACTTGTCGTCAAAGCGAACGATTCTGACGATGGAGCAAAAGCGTCAGGTGCAGGTGCACATCACACGCACACTAGACATAAAAACTATTCCAAATAAAAGACTGGAACAGGGAGATGCTCGGCCTTCGGATCTCCAAAACGGCAGCACAACGGATTCGCCAGGCACCATCCAACACGTTCCTTACCACGGACAGAAAGCGCAATCAAAAGGTGCTGTTTCCAGCGTTTGAGGCTGCGTTCTTCGCATTCTATCGTCTCAATGACGACAAAGCGATTCTCACAGACGATCTACTACTAGAATAAGGTCGCTCAATCCGATCCGCTCAAGGGATAAGCGAGAGCTACCTGCGGCTTTTGAATGGGTGGCTGCATAAATTTAAGACTCGACACGGCATCCAGCAGCATGTGCTCAGTTGATCGCGCTCAACTCGCAGTGAATCAAATGGAGCTTAAAAAGCTGATTGGACAATATTCAATACGAGATGTATTCAATTTTGACGAATCATCTCTCTTCCATCGCCTACCTCCAAACAAGACACTGGTAACGGTCAAGCGCAACGGAGAGAAGTCAGAGAAGGATCGTATCACAGTTTAAATGTGCTGCAACATGACCGGGACCGAGAAAGTGAATCTCGTTGTCATAGGCAAGTCAAAGCAACCACGAGCATTTCACAAAGCCAACACTAAGCAAATGGAGTTTTTGTAATTCAACAATTCGACTGCGTGGCAAAACAGGTCAGCGTTTGCTGAGTGGCTCCGTCATTTCGATGCCAAGATGCACGGGAGGCGAGTGCTTCTCCTGCTGGACAACGCGTCGTGTTACTATGGCGCCGCTGAATGCTACAATATCAAGCTGGCATTCCTGCCACCAAATATGACAGCACACTTGCAACCGCTCTACGCAGGTAAGTTTGAATGAATGTTCTCTTGACCACTTTCTCACGTGATTTTCTGATCGGACTTATACGGGCATTTAAAGCGCGGTATCAAATAAAATTTGTTCGATGGCTCCTGGGTGCAATCCACACCAGAATGGACCGAAAGTTGAATATCCTGGAGGCTGTGCGCTTCGCTAAATCAAGCTGGGAGGAGGTAACCGATCAAGTGATTCGCAACTGCTGGAGAAAGTGTGCCATCGTGGGGGCGGTAACGATGACCGATCTTACCCAACTACGCGACTACAACAAACGCATCGATGGATGTGTTAAGGACGAGCTGAACAATCTCATGAAATGTTTGACTTCCAGCGTCAGTGTCGTCGATTACATCGGTGCGGATGACGACGAGCCGATCAAGTGCGACGCAGACGTGGTAGAGCATGATTTGATTGAGAAATACAATGATGGTGTTAGTGCCGATGAGGTGACGATTGAGCCATCCGATGCTCTCGACGGTTTTCTCCGTATATCATCATTTCTTTCGCTACATCATGACATTGACAAATTGACGAAGAAGCCGGCAAGTATCACCGATCACATTAGACAGCAGTGCTCGATGCGAAAGAATCAGTGTACCATGGATGCATGTCTTCGAATGGGTTCAGATTGACCCTCCTTATAAGAGCGTTTTATATAAGAAAAGAGGCAAAAATGCCACACATTTTGGTCCGCTATATGTAGGGCCGACTGTAATCACAAGCCATTGTTTTGTTGGATATATTGACAAACGACATAAACATCTTGTGACAGCTTGAGCAAAAAAAGAACTAGTATCGTGAAAAGTGACGTCCATCTTCGTTTTATACGATCCGCAACTGGGATCCCCGCTTTGGAGAATCATGGTCGACAACATGTTCGAAAAAAAGCGACTGCGATCTGCTGGTTAAGAAGGTATTGGTAAAGAAGCACCACGAAAAATATCTCGGGCTGTAAACTACTCGATATCCACGACATAGCTTCAATTTAGCCCTCAATAGGCTTACCACTCACCCGAGTTTTTCGTGGGCGAAGATATTGAGGCCACCACTACCCGAGATGCATCAGTGGAAAAATGCACTGATCGAATTAATATTTGTCTAGCAACGGCACATGCGTATCATCCCGAATGCGGTCGCAACACGTAAGGACTCTTTTGCATGAAAACTTGTGTGTTGTTTCATCCAAGTGCGCCCGTTTGCATTCACCCCTACAAATACTAACTTCAAGGTGTAAGTCACGTTGACTTGCTCGTAAAGGGACGAGCTGCAAATTCGATTTAGTGCACCTGATTGGCCGTTATCAAGCACATTTATTTCATGATGCATTGTAAAGCGCACAATCCTCCGATATTAGTTGTACGTTTATCTACCAACTAAATCGATGACTCCTTGTATTTACGTCGTTTAGATCAACCAAAGTCAACGGAAGATGCAGTAGATAATGCGTATGGAAGAATGTTGTAGCAGGAGTATTTGAACATTTTGTACAGGCGTACTTCAGCCAATGAGTCTCGAACTTCTCCAAGCACATGTTTGAAAATAATCATGAGGACAAGTTTTAGCAAACCTTATACTTTAATCAGTGTTTTCACGTTTCCGCTATCGAATGTCACATTTGTTCTTTTTACGAATCGTTCACATCCTTTTTTATTCGACGCGTAAGTTCATTCTTGCCATCCATTTCATATGAGGTGTGGCAATTTTAATTATCAAGCTTCATTATCGAAGAGAGGTTGCAAGTGGTATTGTCATTATGACTCCAATTGGATTGGACAGTCGAAGTGTATATAGATCGATCCATGTTAAGCCGCAAATGATGTCGACCTTTAAATTTGCTAGGTACACATTAATGTGGAATGGTTGTCAACCAAAAAGCGACTTTTATAAGCTGACTGAAACGGGGTTGTAATGACCAAATTCTAATTTAAGCATGTTCATCAATTCTTGATAGTAACCACGGTAAATGCCAGGTAAGGATCAAGACGGGAGCAAAAGACAGTGTTCTTATTCGATTTGACGTTGTAAATGAGCGGCAAATTGCTCAGAGTACCTCCAACGCTTGCGCCACTATCACCATCACGATTGTTGGACACCAGGTCAAACAAGTGAATTTTGTCAGGTACCGTAGACTCATTATATGCCGGTCATATCCATGATGATAAGGCAGCAAGTTTCTCCCTACCAGGATCACAAAGAGCATCTACAGTGGTTTAATATGAGCTCAGATATCATCAGATGTAAATGAGTTGTATTAAACTTGTATCAAAAGTAGTTGGATCTCTTTATGATACCAAGGAAAAGGTGGGACATGCTTCGTAGACGTCGACACATAAACTGCTTCATACTATTCGAAAAGACGCCTTCTGGTAGATTCGATTGTGCGATCATTGAGATTTTTACTCCAGTAGATATCAAAGGGGACTTTCGACCCACTACACGACAAACAATTGGCCGGAGGTATGATCAGAAGAACAAGAAGTAAGGTAAACGTTTCCTACCGCGCGCAATTAGCTTTTGGGACATGTAGATCTACCTCCAATTTTCATCTAGCCTACACAACCATCATTTTAACACCACAGAAGCATGACAAGTCTTGAGTGTGACCCTTCTCCCACCTCAAACTGCAAACGGATCTACGCAGCAGAAAAAATCAACGTTATGACTTGCAAAGGTTGTACATCATCTTGCATAGCACTCACGATTCACTATTGCATGCACTTCATTTAGAAGTAGTCATTTCGGCAAGTTAACCTGCACCCAAATTCATTTGTAGTAGGTTGTTGAGTTAGGCGACCGCAGAACTTTTTCTGTGATCATTCTGTTACGTGCTATCTGATATGGCAACAATGAGAAATTTTGCGTAACTAGTGAAGAATTTGGTCGTTAGCTCGTCGCACCAAATTAAAAAAACTTATCGAACACTTCGGTATTGCAATACATTTTGGTCGGAAACCCTCCAGCACAGCTCACAAGGCAAAGCAAACTGGCGGTTTGCAAATATACGTTCATAGATTTGCAAAAAGTCTACACGCAGCCAGCCCCGTTTCCTTTTTTTTAGTGATTGGGTGGCAGACGCCACACATGATGACCTTCGTTTCGGTCCAAATACGTCTTTTTACAACGCGAGTGTCCATTAGTCCAATCAGACCCTTTTTTTCCTCGTCTTGCTCAGAATTTTACCCTCTACCAAAGCCTCACGCTCGAGTCAGATCTTGATAGGCACTTGTATTGAGGCGGAGCTGCACATCTTCTTAAGTCAGAGAAAGGCTTTAACGCTCATTGATCAACTTAGTTTAGAAATATCAACTCAGAGAGTCAACAATCTCGAAGAGCTTACGGTCTCTGTAACGGGAAACAAACGATTCATATATTCACAGCACAGATCGCTCAACAGCAGCTACCTTGACAAGGCGTTTGCTAGACTCTTAACGATCTCAAGATGTCTTCGAAAGACACGTGACTCACACAAATCAAAAGGGAAACTGAACTTTGTTTGTTGTTATCTACAATAACACTTCATACTGACGTACTTCATCTGGACACTAATGTTTGAATTAATACCTCTTACAATATCTCGTATCTGGTGGCTGACATACATCAGTCTTCAACAGCTGGATACGGTGCATTAATAAGATTTTTTATAATGGGACTTCATCATTGGCGTAAATCACACATGTTGTGTCGGTTACCAACCGACGTGTAACCCCGTTACATGTATTGTCCTCAATGTGAATAAAAGGCTCAAACCACGAGATGATGTTCAGAACAATCCGCTCATCGACTTGGCTTGTATCTCTACATCCTAAAGCCCCTTTATAGTAGTTTACTCTCCTCTACTATCGGTTAGATAGCCCTTCATTCTGATAGCATCTACCTTTTCACACCAAGTCCATTTCATGTCAACACACTGCTACATACAAGACACAACATGTCGTGTATCAGGCTGTCTATCGAGCGTAGGTCGCGTTTACCAAATGTGCATCACATGTCAAACATAATTCAGCAGACCGACTTAAGAGTACGTAATTAATCGGGTACAATGAAGATGCGAATCGTTCAGCTGAGATTACGGCCACATATCGTGATCGATTTTCACCAATTAGGGCCTAAATTTTGCTACGCATACGTCACCGATGGAAGCTGCTCTCACCTTGCTGCAAGGCCATACTACACGCTTCGAAAGGTCTATGCTGTTGACAATATTAAAGTGGCTCGACACTTACGCACAACATGGCAGGAACAATACAGGAGAATATGTGTAATGACGAGTATCGACTCATTGTAAGGGGCACACCCTTGCGTGAACTTAACGCAAGGGTTTTGGTGCGCCCGACAGACGTACACGAGGCAAATGAGGAAGCGTAGATAAGGGAAAAGTAAAACTGTTATATTAGTGTAATTAAGTCTTTAACCGCTGTCTCTCTGTTTGACTTAACTTACTTATACTAATCTAACTGAATGTATGACGACGTCTACTCACCACTCATTGCGCGTGTCTTGCGGCGATTGGTGGGTTGATATCGTCAAGATATCAACCAATGAGAGACTCTTGGTCGACCCATCAATATCACCACTATTGGTGATATTGTTAAAATAATATTCAACATAATGTTCTTTATTGTCATTGTCTCTCAAATGACAATTTCCATGTAACGGGCTGCCCCGTTACACTTATCGTTGTTTGTATTTATCGAATAATCTATATATAGGCTTAAAATAGTACAACGTAGCGAACGAAGGACCAAGCCAGCATGATATTTAAACTTCCTTCTATCTTCTCTTACCTACCACATCTCACGGCACCCCTGGCTGTCCTCACAACTCATTTAATGCGCGACCCACGTGCTCCAATCGGTGCATTTCCACTGGCGGTGGAATGTGGTGAATGAACACTTGGCTTTTGGCAGATGTGCCAATTGCGTTTCAATTGGCTTGTTCGTGGAAAAACACATTTCTTGCATATCGCAATGTGCTTTACCGAGACAGATTTTTGTTGTGAACCACAGCGACTATCGTAGAAACACGCTTGGTAGCTGTTCGATTTAGCTTCCATAAGGGTAGGCTGTCTAACTGATATGTAATCGATCTATCCTTTGTTTATTCGCGAAAACAGCTCACTTTCATTGAGCCTCCACATAGGTAGTGCGTCTGCTTCACGCTGCATGAGCGGAAGCAAAGTGAAAGATTGACCGGTTGCAGTGACTCCTGTCATACGCAGCCCGTGAAAGCATGGGGTGATGCAGGTCAGACGCGAGTGATGAAGTATAAAGAATGTTCATCATTTGCGCTGAATTATTGCAATGAAACCCGAACATTTTTTGCGTGTAAAGCGTATGAGAAGAATTGTTTCATGACCAAAATTTTCACCGATGACAGACTGTAGCGATCGACAAGACAGAACGCTGCAAGCATCTTGATGTTTCTTGATGCTGCTTATGATGCATAAATTTTGTTGTCCATTTATCAAGTGGGGCATCCTGGGGAGTGTGGCCTCGCAAGTGGGTCGCGCGGAGCTTTCAATCCAAGCGCAAAACATCTCGAGTCGTTGGCATTATGTTCCACAATGCGCAAAGTAAATAAAGCCGTGGCAACACAATTATCTCATATGGATATGCCACTTGCAGCAGCTGCGACCGCTTAACACAACCTTAGGTTCCTTGGAGAAGCTGCAAGATTGGCTGTATGTGTGCACTTGTGATCTGAGCACATTATGTTGTAGACACCACTCACATGTTTCAAGGCGAGTTCGAAGTTGACCAGATAAATTTATGTATCCATGAGGAATCCAAATTGTTGCGCTGTCACACTATTTCAACTTTAATCGACATGAAAACCATCATTTACCGACTACTAGCCGAAGCATGATAACCTTTCCGCTATTGTAGTGTCTCCGATGATCGTGCGAAAGTGTCCGAGTTCGGTCGCGGACATGCATTTCATCCATGGTGCCGATTGTGCCTTGCGAGTCGACTTTATGAATGAGTGTTGAAACTCGAGGCAATAGGATGTATGGATGTAATAGACGGACATCATCTTATGTAACGGAAAACATCGGTTGCGTGCTGCATGGCTACCGCAGATTGCTTGGCTGCATACAGTCATGCCGCCAGCAGCAGCGACACGTAATTTCACACGCTTCTCAACGGCTGCAGAGACGTATAGCCATCAAGAATTGTGCACACGGTAGTTTTCGTCGCCCAATGCCAGAGATACATAACCTTAAGCAATCGTGGTTATGGCCAGCATGCCTGCTGTTTAGGTGACTAACCTTACTTTTCGATGTCACACTTGCTACAAGACTGTGCCATTTGACAAAACCTCACTCGACTTTAGCAGCGGCGTCAATAGAATATATCGGGAGCCTTTTGCAATAGTTGCATTCAATTTCAGAGATTGAGACAAAGCATTACCGGGTAACAAATTTACTTGCCCACAACGTCGGGAAATGCTAGAGATTTGTACTGTGACTCATCCCATAGCTCGCTGATCTGGTCAATAAGTGCTTTGGCGTCTTGTGGAAGCGCAGCAGCAGCGTAATCAATTTCTTCGGAATCCAGTTTCGTGACTGACCCACGAAGCTTTGTAGCAACCGCCGCCAACGATGAAGCTTGCAACAGATTGAGAACACCTTTTGTGCTCGTGTTCATACTACTTCGAGCATCGCTCTTCTGCACGACCGTATCTGCGACTTGCTCTTTGAACTCTTGAAGAGTTACAATGTGCTCTTCCAGAGATCTCTCCATGATCAGCCGAAAAACACGGACACATCGCTTCTGCCCAATGCGATGAGCCCGATCCATGGCTTGCAAATCAACAAAGGGGTTCCATGAGTGCTCGATAAAGATGACCGTGTCAGCCCCAGTGAGTGTTAGTCCCAGACCACCTACCGACGTTGTCAACAGCAAAATGTCAATCGACGGATCAGAGTTAAAGCATTGTACGATATCTGCGCGCTTTGAGTGGGCTGTTCGTCCATCAAGGCGCCGGTACGTGACTTTTGGCAGTGCATCTTGCAGCATTTGCTCTGTGATATCCAGTGTCTGTTGTAAGTGAGCAAATACGAGACACCGATGGGGGGAAATCCGGCTGTCATCCAGATTGTCCCTGGCAGAAGATTCACTTGCTAAAAGTTGATCCCGCGGTGCTACATCGCAGCACTCGACCAACAGGTCACGCAACCCTGTCATCTTTCCTGAGCACTTCCAGTCTAGAAGAGCGTCTTTGTCCTTTGCGTCAAGAAGCCGAGCAACTTTGTCCTTTGCAACAAGCGCTGGGTGGACGCAAATTTTTCGTAGCAGCTGCAAATTCGCTAACACGTTGGTCTTTGTCTCTGCCCTCTCGGTTCCAGTACTATTCGACCGCGAATACCTTGACAAGCTTGAGCTCCCACTTTCTGTCGACATTGCCAGTGAATATAGGCGCCGCTGTAGCGAAGACAGGGGTAAAAGCACATTCGAAATAACTTTCGGAGGAAGCTCTGTCAGCACCTGCTCTTTCGTTCGACGCAAAATAAACGGCAACACCTTCTGATGCAATTGCGCGATAGCAATGGCCGCCACTTCCTTCTGCTTTGTCGTTGCATTACGTTGTGCTGACTTTGTGATAGGAAAGACAAACTCGCGGCGGAACGCAGCAAAGTCACCCAAGTATCCGGGCATCAAGAACTCGAAGAGAGCCCACAAATCGGTGACATTGTTCTGCAACGGCGTTCCGCTCAAGGCAACACGATGCAACGCCAGAAGCTTACGTACCGCTCGGAACAAAGCGGTGGATGGGTTTCGAATCAAATGCGCTTCGTCCAGCACCACAAAGGCGTAAGTGGCATTCCCCAAGCGCTCAATATCCGTGCGCAGTATGGAGTACGTCGTTACGATCAATGTCGGACCCTGGTCCGACAATGACCTTATACCATCTTGGAGCAAGACTTTTCGTTCGCTAGCAGGGACTGAATAGTCGATTATAGATGCAAAGAAACCCGGGACGTGGTGCTTGACTTCCTGTATCCAATGATAAACGACGATCGGCGGACACACAACAAGGAAAGGCATCGTTGTAGCCTTACTTCCGGCTGAGGCTGATAAGACCGACGTGGCAACCATGGCTGTAAGTGTTTGCAACGTCTTACCGAGACCCATATCATCAGCAAGGATTCCATGCAGATTATTTTTGGCCATAAAGCAAAGCCAATCCACGCCATGTTGTTGGTACAGACGCAATCTCGTATCGCGAGCTAGCAGAGATGTAAGATCGGTATGCTCGATCGCCTCACCTTTTGCAAAGCTCTCCAGGAAGGTACGTGAAACAGCATTTTGCTTTACGATTGTTCGTAACGAGTCAGGAAGTAGCTGCTCAGATTCTCGAAGCTCGAGGTCCATTTGAAGAGGAATCAACGGAACCAAATCAGCAAACGCCCCAGCAGCACATGTGCGAACGAGTTGAAATTGTGAATTCATAGTCTTCATCGCAAAATGAACGAGGCTTGGCACATAAGGTGCTAAATCATCTCCAAGAGCGTGTACGATGCAAGTGAGTACCATAACTGCGCCCTCTAGTGTTTCTTTGCTAACCTTATCGGCATTGCCAGCGTTAGAGAAGGCCACGAAAATAGAGTTGTACACAGAGAGCATTGCGTCTCTGCGATGTCGTTTTTCTGCGTATTTGCTGATAGTAGCAACAGCTTGAGCTACGACACGTCGTGTTAGCTTATCTTTATACTGCTGCTGCGTTAGTTGCGCAAGACGATCAATCCACGTCAAGCAAGCAGCTATTGCGTCCCCTTCAACGTGGGGAACCACTACACTGATTAAGTGCATGGACCGTTGAATGGTAAGTTCGTCAACAAGCGGTGAATTCCACGCCTTAGAAATGACATCTTCCAAGGCGCGACACGCATCGAAAAGAAAAGCGCCACCACGCTTGCAAATTTCGCGCAGTGCACTCTCAGCTCCAACAACTCGAACTGTCGTCTGCTTGCGTTTTTCAGCCGCGGTTGGTGGATTGCAGCCATCCCCCGAGTCCATGCAGGCAAGCACGTCACCGTCGCCGTCACCTACACCCGATACGCCTACCAACGCCACAGCGTTGTTGCAGAGATTGGAGATTATCTTTGAGACGCACTTTTTTTGAGTTGATGCCTGACGCATCACGAAATCGGCTATTGTTCGCGACACAATCGAGCGGAAAGCCGATTCTTCTTCTTTTTTATTGAGGTCATCAGCGCTTTGACAAGGAAACCACACTTTTTGGGAGTCGGTAGTATTTCGTAATAAGCGCTGCTACCTAGACCTTGTATCCGGTCATAAAAGCGAGAAAAACTGTGCTGGATAAGCTCGTCGACCAGAAATAGATCTTGCCGCTTAAAATGAGCCTGTTCAAATTCTTTTGGGTGGTTACGCAACTTGTCGTACGGAAAAAGCGCGACGTGTTCCGCGATCTGGCGCGACACGTCTGCTGTCGAGGAAGACCCCAGTTTTTTCGAGCGCTGAAGTGTGACGCCCACGGACGAAAATATGTGTATGATTCGAGCTTCCATCAGCATGACTCGTTTCAAGGATGCATGCTGCTCACTGTAAAGTGCTGCTTCTTCTTCACTCTGTGCATCTGAATGAACAATTTTCCACTGGTGTTTCGCAAACGCTTCAATTAGCAGTCCTACGGAAGGCCGCAAACATTGCAAACGTCGTGAGTAGTCTTCCAAGTTTTTGCGACCCAATTTGTTCTCATAATGGCCCCAGTTCGTCAAGGCGAGAAGAACGCCACTTTGATGATCACCAGATGTACTGCGTATACCATCGTGGAATAGTCGGACTAGGTCAGTCGTACATGAATCGTCAAGAGGAACATGGGCAGCGAGAAACCCAATTGCCTTAGCAAACGCAACACGAGAAGCCATGTTCTCCCAGGTGGTTTGCTTCATAAAATTGCTTACATCAGCATTGATCACCGTGCCATCCAAATGAATTACTTCAACATTTAGTTTGTGTATCTCATCCGCGGACAATAATAGCTTGGCCCAAAGTGGCAAATATTCTGCTGCGACGTCTACAAGCAGCGCATCTTTCGACAATGTGCTTACTATTTGTTTCCAGGCGGAAAGCAGACTTCGTCGAACACGCTCATTCGTCTCCACAAACACTTGAAATAGCAGATGCGACAAAAAAGCTCGACCAAAGCCGACAATGCGTGACGTCACGGAAGTAGACGTGTCTGAAAGAATGGCTGCTGTGCAAGTTACACTAGACACCCGAACAGACTGTAAGTGGTGATGCAGCATTGGGACCGTATACGACAGATTATTCCAAAGAGCCTCCCTAACTCTTTTGTCACGCTGCAAGAGCGTTGCGACTGGGAAATAATTATACCACGCGCTGATCGCTTGAGTTACACCAGCACTGATCAGACCAGACTTGTCGTAAAGCTTCAGAGATCCCCACAACAGTGTAGCCGTGTTTGAGATAGCTACTGGTTTGACTTGATCTAAGCATGAGACAAAATCTTTGATCATGTCTACCGATAGAACCAACACATCTTCCTCTGCAACGGCCTGAGAAAACACTGTCACAATATCGTTGAAAAACAGAGGAACTAGGGCTGATCCATGATTGCCATGAGCTTGGACGAGATATTTGAGCCCCAAGAGACCACCGTGGCAAGCATGCCACGTCAACCCACTAAACAACGTGCGCACTACTTGCAAGTATTGGACAAGCGTGGCTTCGCTAGAAACACTGCCGAGCAAAATTCCAAAGACTTGCGCACACATCTCACGAACAGGAGAGACAGAGCCGTCGGCCGAGTAGTCGACAAACCGGTCCAGCGCTAGTACACAAATGCACCGAATCAAGCACTCTTCCAGCCACTTGTCAACAACGCTATCCTGCACATGATTAACATGTGCTAGCCGAGTCGCTTCAACAGCCTTTGTGAAGTGGGCTGATATAAAAACTTGCCGCAATGATAAGAGCGCACCATGACGAACCTCCCATTTGGAATCGAACATGCTTTCAAATAGATCCGAGACCAAGCTTGCCACAATTTTCGCCTTTGACCGCGTTTCAACTTCCTCGAGCAGGCCACTTACACATTTTGTGCCGGGGTCTTTCGCAAGCAAGCCTCCAATTTTACCGTCATTTTCACCTGTCACCCGCTTTTTGCTACAACGCAAACTAGCGTCATCCTTTTCTGCACAGCGCTTAGAGCTTCGAAAAGTCGATATCATCTCACTCGCTTGCTTCCGGACAGCAACCGCACTGTACTCATCGCCTACAATAGGCTGTGCTTCACTTTTCTCGATATCGTCTGCGATCTCCTTGGTATCTGCAACACCACAGCCCTTTAGCAAGTAGTGCCCATGCATTCGAGTCTACCTTTGCACCTTACTCACAATTTTCATTCAGTCGGGGAAGCAGTTGGTTCGTCAGTGAACCCTCGCGCGTTTCCCAAATTGGCTTGCCGACTCCACTAAGACGTCTCAATAGCAAACGACGCTGCTTTACTGCTTGTACTCGTCGCCCTTCCTCCGTCAGATTCGTCGGGTATTGATATTCCTGTCGGAACCAAAATCTTCTCGATCAATATATACCGCTGGTGCTGCCTCTCGGATCAGCAGTTAACCCACCTCTCCCCCACTTCGCAAAAGCGGCGCCCCCTCTCGCACGACCTTGTAAACGTCCACTGTCTGCAGATCAAGCGCTGCCATCAGAGCTTCATGGTTGCCAACTGCAGAAAGAAAAGAACAATACATCATCAGTCGTTGTTGTTCAGCAACATCATACCAACTTTTACATACAAGAGACCAGTGCGAAAACATCCGCGACGTTCTCGTCCTCGTTCCGTAAGGAACGCGCCACTACTTCGAGGCACTTGGATGCAGCCACGCGTATATCCCACTCGTCGTCAACAATTAGCGGCCGTAGCTTTTGCAGGATCGAGGCACAGAACTCGAGAGATTGCGCGCCCACTTCGCCCAACTTCTCGGCCGCGTTCTCACGAATTTGAGCGCTGCTTCCATCTATGCGGTCAAGTTTACGTAGTTAAAGGCACACGTTATGACCCCATTTCAGGACTAGTGCAGAAGCAGATCTGCTGGAGACCGATTACACACCTCGTACAAGTAGGAAGAGACTCTCGAGTCGCGTGGCTTGTGCACTCATGACGGCCAAAAGAGGCTGGAAATGTCACTATTTAAATGGTGAAAAGAGGTTGTGACATGACGGACATCCCCAGTATAGCGACATCCAGATGACGACGACATACGGAGGACAGCGGTCAGCCAAGAAGCGGATTGAATAGCTCGGACTCGCGTCGTACGTTGTCGACAATCCCATGATCTCGCTAACGTATCTTTCCGACACTCTTCGTGTTATAGTGTACTTTAGGGTCTGACATGACGATCTACAAGCTTTGCAGGAGAGATACCGCGTAGCTCTCGGTTTGCGATGTACCTCATAGCCGTCGCAAGAGACGTCGACAGCATGCATTGGTGTGCTCATTCATATATTGCCGACTTTCAAAGCGCGAACGTCGATGCAACAAGATCCCAAGATCATATCGTAAGGTCGATGGTAAGCTGGTAGCTTAGAAGCGTCGTTGTCACCATATGGATCAGGAGGTCGTCAAATCGGCTCACGCTCAAGCGCTTTCATGAGCGAACGACGTGTTCCGTCGACACGATGCTACACGCAGAATTCTTGGCAATGTGCCGGTAGCTCCAACACGCGAAAAAGACTCGTCATTTGAATCGATGACATCTGTGCTTCAGCGCAGTGGGAGCTCACGGGCTGCTCAAAGGCTATCGCGCATTGTGTCACCTATTGGCTGGTCGGGAGTCAGCCACTTGAGCAATGTGCACTTACTTAGCTAGTGGAGTCAAGCACTCGAACAATGGAAACGTGCTTAGGTGGTGGGTTATTCATCTTCGACAAGCTCTTTATGCTTTTAGTTGAAAGTACAGACACGTGTGCAGGCGTGGGTGCGTGGATCACTTGCTATTGTCGTCCCGGTGTAGAAAGCGATATAGCACCAATATGATAACGATAGTCAATTGTGTACTGCTTGCTACGGAAAGGCGTCTTCGTAGTCCTTACGGTAAACACGAATCCTTCCACACCGCTAATCTTCATTCGCAATAATGCACATTAAGGACTTAATGATTGGTATAGCATGGATGCTGTATCTTTCGTGCTTTCATTATGTCTCCCAAACAAAATTCTAGTGCTTGTGACGTCCACGCACGAGCTATCAAAGTCGATCTTATTCTGTCTACATTATATGGCAATATTCGTTTGGGCCTGTGAGGGCAGGACAGCGCAACAGTTCTGAGGATTATGTCCGCCTCGTTATCGTGCTTTGCTTCTACAGCCGCTGTCGGTCTACCAATTGCTCGTCCGCAATCTTTCGCCTCCATTCGTGACCGAAAGCACGTACGTGTTGTTCTTGTCCACCAGCGCACAAATAATGTAAATCGTGGATGTGAGTAGAGATGGTGTTATTTACAACAAGCGCAAAGTATATATCGTTTGGTAGTGCAAATGTTGTTTCTTCGCCCTTATGACTCGTAACGGCTATGGCTTTACCTCATGGTGCTAAACTGATACACCCATTGCTACCACTAACCCACAACATACTTTTGCCTCTTAACGTAAGCATGCAGCATACAAAAGCAGCTCGGTGTGCCATGCGTGATTCCCAGTTTCTATCTGCGTCAAAGAAAGTGTGTTTGGTCGTCCGATTCGTGGAAAACATTGTTGCAGGGCAAAACACGTGAGCAAGGCTTGAAATGGGGACGCGGGCGGGACAGCTATGAGGTGCGACAAATCTCACGATCAAGCGCCGACCACTTGTCGCCAAGATGCTCGTAGCGTTATGGCCTCACAATTTTGCTCTAATACATCACACGAAGAGACAGCAGCTATGTCAATACTACTGAGTGCAGGAACATTAAGATTGCCCCGTAAGAGTAGTATCTCTCGCTTCTGCTGCCTTCGTTTATATGTATTTTCTATTCCTTGGCACGTCTACGATAATCCAGAACATCGATGTGCGTTTTGCTGCAAGTATGTATTCGCATGTCGTCAAAAAAGCATCGTTTTAACGGCCCATAGCTTTTTAAGCGTGACGAAAGAAATACTTTGGTTTGCGGTGCAAATTGTAACACATTATGTGCACATGCATAGGCAGCCTCACACTATTGTTGGTCATCGGGAGAAACCGATGTAAGTTGGTAAGACAGAGACAAGACATCAATGCGCATAGTGTACTTGGGATGAGGGCACACTCGATTGCTCAACGAATACAGTCATAGATTGATACCTACATAGCATGGAAATGGTAAGCAATGTGCCAAACTCCGGTCCGACGCGTATGTGCAAATTCGGTCCGACGCGTATGTACAAATCTGAAAGACCCTTGCTAACCGCATTTCTCTCTTTTTTTCTCTCACGCCATTGCTTTTTTCAGCTGTATAGGTAAAGCTACAATTTGCATGCTTGGTAGATGTATTCTACGAAGACTTGGGTAGGCTATCGATTGTTGAGGCTTCAGGTGTGACCCGAGCAGTAAAACTACAATGTCCGGCGCATCATTCTGGCGTCGGTGCTCTGCTCGTTTTGTTGACGAGATAATCAGGTATGGCTGACACAGGATCCAGTCGCCCCGTGTGCGATACAGGGCAATGTATGCTCTCATCTGACACGTGCTCGTACCGACGTTTAGTTCAGTATTACTCATGGGCTTGTGGCCACCGCTGGGCTTGCATTGTGGCTTGCAGCTATCTCCAAGTTTTCTTATGCATTGCTCCTACTTGACTAGTGCAGCTTCCGTACCGTCTGCCGCTTCACATTCTCCAATCGTATCGCCTACTAGTGGGAGCCCAATTGGTAAAGTAGTGTATCCGACAACGAGACCTCATTACGATAGCATAAACGGTTGAGCTTTCCGAACAAACCAAGACTCCGCTCATCTCAGGTCTCTTGTAACCGTTGTAAGCTGTAGCCACAATTCTAGTCTACTATCGCTCTGGGACCAGCCACAATGTATGGCTCTACGCTCATTAAGTGCCGTCTAACCAGTGGCATATTCGTGAAGTAACTCATCTGCGACCACTTAAACCTTCGGCCCATGTCTCATTATCTGTGTATACTCTAGCCACAGCTCTGGAAGATACATCACGAGGTCGCACGCTGTGCTGCTTCGCTCAATACCTATGGCCAAGCAATGCCTGCCGTATTCGTCTAGACGATATGACAATTGCTTTGGCAACACTTAACGAAAGAACAGCCACGCATTGTAACGATATTGTCACGTGCGATTTAGCTCTATGCTCTACCAACTTCGTGCTCAAGTACAAAACCTCGAATATGGACTTTGATCTGCGGAGATGGGGTCACCGACGTCCTCTATGCGAACACGTGACGCTCCACATATTTCCAGTCATATCCCTCTCGACGCAACTCGGTTGTAGGCCAGTAGTGAAAGTCTGTCTTCAGCGTGAACACCTTTGGCTTACTGTTGATCGAAATGGTTTTCAGTCGCACGGACTCACAATTGCCTATGCGTTCCACGACAAGCAAAAAGTCATCTAACGTGCGTGTTGGCTGCCCGTTAACTTCCACAAGCCACATGGTTGCCCGCAAGCCGAACTTGTGCGCTGGAGATCCGTAGCACCATCGTGAGCAGTATACGCCGCCGCCTTCTTCAGGAATGTAGCCCAAGCTTGCGACTGCATAATGAGGGCTCTGGATGACAAGGCCACACCAGACAATCACACGGCCAGTGCCCAAAGCTGACAGCTGAGACGTGCTTACACTCAACTCCAGTTCTTTCCGATCGCGCACGACCAACACATTCACGGTTGTGTTACCACACACTGCAGCCTCTACATCTACGTCCCGTACTACCACTCGCCCGTTAATCGCTAAAAGCAAGTCACCGCTTTTAAACTTTTTTGCGCAGTCCGTGCCGGCAGCACATCGCTTTATTCCAAGAACCTGGCGCTTATTTTCGTAGCACGACTCGAGCTTTTGAATCCATGCATCCGAAAGTCCGAGGCCAGAGCGTGCTTTGGATAAAGGGTATGTCAGTAGTTGTGCCGGCAATATGTTCAGCGATGATGGGATTTGAGACGCCCGAAGTTTGTCGATAATCGGTCGGACAGTACTGACCGGTAATCCACGAAAAGCTTCTTTGCGACCAGCATTATCCTGGTAGCTAAAAGAAAGCCATAATGCATTTACAGCGCCTGCAGCATCAATAAAAACACCCCCCACTGACTTTGTGATGCGATCAAAGTGCAGCACTTCGACATTGCATGCTTTGTATCTAGGTGGCTGAAAGTCGCGCAGCACAAGACGATCCAGCTTGGTAGCAACAGACTTCATCGTGACAACGGTCCAATTACCACTCAATCCGACGTAGTCGGCGGTCTCGCCAACTTCGAGCACTTTCTCAGCCAATACGACGCTTTCGATATGACTCGCTGCAGCGCCTAATGATTTGGGATCGTACTGTACGATTGAGAAGTTGTGAACTGGGTGCACAAAAACCACTTTGGCAGGGACTTCAAAGGTAGCAGCTATTGTGATCAACACATCACCTAACGCGATGGGGACAGTGTTTTGATCCACGAGCACGAAACCTTTCTCTGCGTCCACTACAACTCCCATGCCATGGTAGCTCGAGCTCGAAATACCGTCAATCATGTAAGGAATGTCAAAAGATACCATAACCAGCGACCGCAGCGTCTTCTTGCCCAGTGCACTTCCGCCTGGAAAGCTCAATGGCGCGGGAACAAAGGTCGGGTTCCCAGTTGTAGCGAGATGCGCTAGCGCTTTATCATCGTTCGACGTGTGCCCGACGTGTGACTCCGCGTGCCACAACCCGTCCTGATCGTTCCGCGTACATAGCTGCATTGGAAACCATAACCGGTCCATCATAATGAAGGCTGTACGGATACGGTGGCGATCGCGGATCATAAAGTAGCGCAACACCGTGCGAAATCCATTAGGTAGTGATGCCATGACGCGCACGAAGTCATCCAATGTTAGTGTAGGCTGTCCCGCTACGGACGTAATAATACAAGGTTGGGCTAAGTGCGCTTTCATGAACATGTGGCCTGCTTGCGCTAGGTATACACCACCCACCGGTAGTGAGGCGTTACGAGCTTGGTGGTAGGACAACGCGTGCACGATACCACCTCCAATTTCAAAGTACTTGTCAGGCGTGATTGTATGTAGGCTCTGAACGTTCAGCGTGACTGTGTACTGCACGCCCCCACGCTGAACCTGAACTTCCACGGTCCCAGCAACATTTGTATCCAAAAACTCCTCTATAGTTATAAAGGTCGCTCCATACTTGCCGGCAAACTTTATGAGCACGTCTCCGGTACACAGCTGCTCATGCGCCGGCCCTCCTTGAATGACCTGGTCCACCACTAGCATGCCTGTCTCTTGCGGGCACTGCTGGCGCACCAAAGCTTCTGTTTCTCCCGACAGCCCAAGTCGCCGCACTTCGTCGAACGCCGTGTATCGAAAAATCGTCTGAATCGTACCGCGCGACACTTCCTTGCCTTGTTGGATTAGCTCAAGCGCGCGCACAACGCGGTTCAGCGGCAGGTAAAATGACGATGCTGCCTTTTTGGCTCCTCCGGCATTCAGCGCGATGGCACATCCGTCAATGTTTAGTACGGGAGAGCCGCTCGAACCTCCGCTCGTACTGCTTGCCGCTGCAAAGTAGAAAGTATTGAAGTCGTTGTACGTGGCCGAGCCGTAAGACGGTGCGTCGCGATCCAACTTGGCCAAGATTCCTGGCAAGATGGAGAGTTTTTCCCCCGCGTCATTGCCCACCACGCGAATCTCGGCACCGACTCTGGCTGCGTCAGGCCTTAGCGGGATCTCGTGAAGCTGCAGGAACTTGACCTTACTAGGGTCGAAGCGAAAGAATCCGAAGTCATGCACAGGGTCTCGGTACACTGGCACAAGATCCACTTCCTCCTTGTTGAGAAAGATGGCGTCAGCAACTACAGGACCTGGTGTCACCACGTGCCGATTCGTGAGGATCAACCCCCTCTTTACGTCCACTACGAAACCCGTGGCCACGCTAAAGCTCGCGCCATTGCCGTCGAAAGCGCGCACACTGAGGAGCCGGACGCTCACGATGGCACGAATGCACTTCTCTAGACTTTGCATCCACCGCGTCGACTCGACTGTAGACGCTTCGACACATAATCCGCTGTACTCTGACGACGGGGCCGAAGACGCAGAGCAACACGATTGGACGTCCAGCTGCTCATCCATGTCACCGGCTCCGTTTTAGTCTTTCCAAGCAATACTGACTGCATGTGCGATTGGTGGAAGATAGAAGTACCTCGCGGATCTCGAATAGAAACGCACCACATAAAAGTGCTCGCAGGCTTTTAGTGGACATATCGCGTGTAACCTCCCTCCACCACATGCTGAAACAAGAATTTATATGAGATATCGCAATGAGGATTACACTAAATAACTATTCATCAAAATACACCAAATTAACAAAAACACACGCGAGAGATATTCACGTATTTCGAAAAAATATCTACACTAGATAAATATGCAGGATACAAAAAGCACCAGATAATCAGGATAATAAACAAGCATCACATATTCACAAAATAGGAAGCACCAAAGATGGAGATAATAAAAATTGCATAAGTCATTCACGAGAAAGCACAACAAGATGGGGGATACAAATTACACTATATAACATTAACGCACTAGTGATGTATACTGTACGACCGAGAGTGCACATGCTACAGAACATAGGGATACATATCGGTATTTATGATAGCTATCATGAAGATTGTACAGCACATTATATATTATAAGCGTTTCCGGTGAGTTGGGTGTGCCGGACCAGTTGTTGTATCCATAAATCAAGTAGGTAACAACATGAAAATGGTTGATCATGCAGGTCAATTGATATAAAACATATGAAGTCTACAATGCTAGTATTTTTAATTCAGTTTCCTCGTAGGTAGAGAGACTTTGTATATGTATGTATGTATGTATGTATGTATGTATGTATGTATGTATGTATGTATGTATGTATGTATGTATGTATGTATGTATGTATGTATGTATGTATGTATGTATGTATGTATGTATGTATGTATAGCCGAATGTATAGCTGAATAAACTATCTGAGATTTGTGCCACATGTATAACACGGATCAAGGGGATTGAGCTGCATCATCTGTCTATTATGTCCTCCACTGCATACAACAATATTGCATCTATCTTCACAGCGTCAATACCGAAGTGTCTATATCAACACCGACATCACTTTGACCAGCAGCTTCGTTATGTGGCGACCACAATATGCCGTCATCGTTACGCAGTTTTGTAACGCGCGATCTGCGTTGCGTGTACCCAAGTATCGCATGCCCACCTAGAATGGCTTCTCAAATTTCTGTCAGGTCCAACTAGCTCGTAAATTCTTGTTGCTTGACATCACGTCATCTCATGCTGTCTGAGGTTGTACTTTATGTATCACCGATCGTTTTGCAAGCGCTATTTTGAACGCGAATCAGTCTCACCTCAACTAATTAAAAAAATCTGGCCGAGACTACAGTTACACATCAATACAATACCAATCAGAAAGCTGAATGTATGGGCTAGAAGCAGCATGCTGTTCATATCGAAGGACAAATGGCAATGTGAGGCTACGCTGAATTAGTCGACACTCCTTTTTCTAACTCGCAGTACGACTACTGACTACTCAAATGCTGACAAATTTCCTTCATAAGAATGAGAAGGGGAATGTAGCCGGTATACATGGATGTAAACGAGCAATTTGAGACATGTGTATATTCGGACGAAATGTCTACATCAGTACTGGATGTTACTGGTTATTTGAATAAAAACCTATTTCTCCACCTTGTACTAATTTTCATTGTCTCGCCATTTAATGCACTGTAAAATTTATTGACTTGTATTGTCTTTTTTAGATGTTATTATCGCTTAGTGCATTATATTTTCGAGAAGTGTGAACCGCAGATCACGCAAAGACTAAGTACCAGATTAATTGTCGGTATACAGTAAGTCACACAATGGAGTGCACCACGCACCGCGATCTCAAGTCAAGCGATTTTGCAAGTCGCGATCTTTAACGATGTGATGTTGGATGATGCGATTTTGGACACCGCGATCGTGGGCGATGCGATCTAAGATGGCATGGTCTTAGATGAAGCGATCTAGTTCATCGCGATTTGAGGATGATGAAGTCGCGACAATCTGGCGTGTAACACTAACAAAACGATGGAAGATCTAATCTCGACAGCACAAGGCGATACGTGGTGGTCCATCCTAACAAACGAAAAATAGGCTTAGTAAGGGATTGGACTTTTGGTTGCATAGCATTTAACGAGAAACTAGTTCACTTCCAAGTGAACAAGTGTCGTTCCTCTATCCATGTAAGATTATATGGCCTCCCGACGTCTGAGAAGATCAAGCAAACACCAAGAATATCAATCCTGGATTATTTGGTCAGGCGTGCAAGATGTCTCCAAACCTCTTTGAATTGCGAATGAACCCATAGTAATAAATAATCTCATGACAGTTTAATTTGGTGAGAAGGTTCGCGTATCAAACACCAAGTTTGGACAAGGCGATCTTGTAGAGACCAGGGTGACTCATATCGATCACCCTACAAGTACACCCGTGTTCGTGCGAAGATTTCCATACGATCACCAACCCATCTCAAACAGGGTCAAGTTTATCGTCGACTTAAGTCCGCCTGGAAGAGTGCAGCACGCACTATCGATGGGTATACAACGTGGGGAATGAAATAAGCCGGCAATGGAAAACTCCTTCCAATCGTTGCTTTATTAGGCGCCAGTGGAGAGTCGGGATCACAAGAAACTTGCGATCAGCACTTCACCACAATGGCACGCATGCCCGAATCTTCTGGTGACTCGAATTGCACCGTGAGTACCTGAGTTGAGATATGAAGATTAAGGTTGAACCTGGAATGAAAGCTTCAGAGACAGAAAATGCTGCAGGCGGGAAATGAAAGGATTTCCGGGTGATCAGAGTTTTGGGAGGGGCTCTGATGACAAGAAAATTAAAACGGAAGATCGATTGCTCAGTCTGGATGAGAAAACTCGACCCCTTCATAAGATCCCATCGGGGACAAAAGCGTATTGTGCTGCGAAGAATGATTCGCAAGTTACAAAGCTTTCGGTCAAAACGAAACAAGTATCATCCAACGTAATTCTTGAAAAGTCGAAGAAAGATAAGTCGAAGACGACGAGAGTGGGGAAGAGGGAGAGATCCTCCACTCTCGTCGTCTACAATTTCTATTTCGAGTACACGAACTGGATAAACACGATCACATTACGAAAGGAGTGGCGCGACCGGTCAATTTTATGGAGGATTAAGGGGATGTTGGAAGGTTGGCAACTGGACAAGCAGGCGGGGGCAGGGTACCATTGAAAGACGCTCAATAGGTTTTAGTAAGTGACTCTGTACTCCATTTATTGGAGCTCAAGTCGATTGGAATACTTCAAAGTCCTGTATCCACCCCATCTATAGCAGCAAACATACCGGATAAGTTACAGGAAATTATGAAGCAGCTGCATGACGCTGCTTTCGTCGCAAAAATGATTTATGTGAGGAAGCAGGTAAAGTTGAACAAGATCAAGTGACCCACACTTGTCGATATCTGAATGAGAAGTGAAATTCTTGGACGAGCCAATTTATAAGACCGACAAGTATGCGGATATGGCGACCACGGAAGCCCTTGTAGGATAATAGACCGGATCGTCACAGTACGCATCAGCGGAATGTGAGATCGAATTGAAGAATCAATAGGCATTCATAGGATATCGTTAGGTCCAAGTGGGGCCACGCATTTGCCTTGTCATGCTAAAGTGACCAAGATCGAACCGCGATCGACTACCATATGCATCAGAAGAGATGGAGCTCCGATTGTCCAATAGATTTGTAGTCATACTTCGATACTGCCATGGAGCAATTCCAACAGGGGCAACGAAATCAATCTTGTCAAGAATGTTACCCAATTTAAACAGTCAAGATGCCAAGCGCTCAAGATACTTGTATATCTGGTATCGATATGGAGTCATCGGGATCGAATTACGGACTATCTGACATCAGCGAACGCGACGGTCGCAATTCGTAAGACTCAGGTCAATAGGAGCTGATGCGTCGATCACTGGCGCCCACATAAACTTCATTGAGTAGTAAAAAATCTTAACAGCGCGTCCGGGTCTCGGCGATCATATAAATGAACAAGTTCAATGGCAGATACCGAGATGAAGATCGCGCAAGAAGATGTATTGGCAAGGTCAAATCATCGTTCCTGCATATACAAGAGCCGGACGAAGAAATCTGTCTAGACTTTGGAGATCTATGGACAAGACCAACGCGAACTAGTACAGTCAGCTGAGTTGATCTACTCGCCGTCCACGGAAACGTCTGCTGTAATGTTTATGGTGAAGTACGGAAGTTATGGCGTTTAGGCGGGCAGACAATATGACCAGGAGGTGAAGTGATCGGATGAGTATCCTGTGGAATGCTTGTATCGGCTAAAATTCACAAGCAATTAGCGCCAAGATCGCGATTTGATATGGAAAGTTGGCTACGCATAGTAAACATAAAGAACTTTTTTTCTACATCAGATGACCGCGATCTAGTAAAAACGTTGACTCAAATGCGGCTGAAGAATGTCAATGACGTGGAAGAACCGTTGCGCGCTTATCAACGAATGGAAATTCGGCAGATAAAAGCGTCAGTTGGACTTGGCAAGCTCCACCAGCGATCAAATGTTCCCATTGATCCGCTGCCGTTTAGGTCGACCCAGGCGTTGCGAGCAATTTAGGTGGGGCTTGCGAGTGGCGAACCGATTTTACAGTCGAGCGGATCGGATGGAAATGCGGATCGGCGTCGTAATTGTGCGGCTGCCACCTCCGATCAATTAAAGTTCCACCAAGATTGTCACATGCGGAATAGTGGTGTGGATTGAGGGAAACACGTGATCGGGGGGAAGGAGTCGATCAAGAACTTGTACCCATTGTGGATCGACCAAACATGACGATTGAGGGTGTTGGAAGCGATTGACTTTTCAGAAGCTCACAAGGAAGTGACACCCGTCGGAAAATAAGTGTTTCTACGTGTGCGCGGCCTGTAAAGAAGTGCATTGGAGTGGCAGTGACCAATGGATGAATAATTCAATTTAATTTGGAAGTGACATGTAGTCACCAAGCACACTGGAACTTCCCCATTACGTAGAGAAGATGTTA